ACGCGCAGTTGCCCCCTTGCTCGAACCCAGACAATAATAAGGGGATCCGGCTACTGCGTGACGTAAGTGTTGATAGTGGTACAAGTACATCACTACATGTACGGTACAATATAACCCACTACTAGCACTAGTTCAAAACTAGTATTAGATAAACCTTGTTATAGTTCACGCATATTGTTAGATTGACAGCCTGAAACAAGGCGAGGCAGTAACTGTTGACAGCTGACGAGCTGAGAGAAGGACACCATGGGCAGAAGTTGGAAGAAAAGAAGCTACATGACTACCAGGACGACATCCAGGAGCGATCAAAGAATACACGACGGACGTCAGGAGTAGTCTCTTACCACCCTAGCATAATGAGGGTCAGAACCGGGTGCGACACCCATAATTATGGTTCAAATGGTCCGCAGGGATCGGGGCTCTGCCAACCGCGGAATGTTGTAGTAAAGGTCACTGTTTCCGAACACAGTGTCCTCCACCTTGTTTCATGCTGTCAAACTAACAATTACATGTACGTACACATGTCGTACTTCCGATAAGCCTTATAGTGTTTTGTTGAAAACATGAATTGTATTGTTGTTTCCTCTGAGACAAAAATGCGATAATACTCATAAAAAGGACACACTTCAGGCAACGGCGGCGATGGCAGCGACTAAAGTACAGACAGAGGCAACGGCTAGGGTCCACTCGACTAGCCATGTGAAATCGGATGTGTCCACCGCACATGCTGATTGTTCTGATGTTAGTTTTGATAAGTATGAGTCGTCCATTGCTAGTCATTTGTTTGAGCATCCTGATTGTCGTGCTGTGTATTCAGATGATTGTTTTTCGATTGTGTCACGTGTACGCAGTGCTAGATTGCTGAATGTTTTGGAAGCTGTATACATCCACACAAGGAAACCCAACCTTTGCAAGCAGAAACAAATCAAATTCACACTTAGGCTGTTAGGTAGGTCGTCGAAACCTCGTTAGTTACATGTATGTCCAGTGGTTGTCTCTTGTTGTCGCACTACATGTCGCGCTTATTGAGTTTTCTCGCATTTGCACCTTTGTGTCATTATTGCAATTTTCGCTGTTTACTTTAGCTATCTTCTTTCTTTCTTTTTTTTTGCGCTGTTTTACCACCTTCTTACTGTATTTAATCCACTGTTCCTGTTCCTTTTCCATTGCCTGCATTTCACCTGATGAGAAGGCTTGAAAGTATACTTGTGAAGACAAAAACTTTCAAGATGTTTGTAATGAGCCTGAAGTGTGTCCTTTTTATGAGTATTATTGTATTGTTGTTGGTCGTACATACACAAATAGGAGATCCCCCAAATAGGCGTTAGCCTTTGGGTAATCCTGAAATAAAGATTATTACGATTATATTGACCTGGTTGACAGCATGTTAGAAGGCAGAGGCTGCGGACACACTACTGCTGCATGCAGTACTGGTACAGGGGTACTAGTAGCAAGAGTCCATAAACAAGAGTGTGCATGCAACGCCGCATAGATGTCTGTCACGACTCAAAGTACTACTACTACGAGTGCAGTGTCTCTGCCAACCGTGGGTGGTAGTTGTAGGCAAGGAATTCGTAATTAGTTGGGGCCCACTGTTTCCAAACACAGTGTGCCTTGTAAAAACATACTGTTCACCAACAACATAATATTACTAGCAGCGCCCCAGGCCAGCGTTGCCTGGCCGAATGTGGCATGCGGGTGAAGCAAGTACATGAACAGCACACTTGCTCAGCACGTGGTGGTGGCCAGACCGCTGAAGTCCTGGTGAGGAAGGTTCTTCATGGTTGGAAGGAGAAGGAGGGACGTCTGTTACGCCTTCGGGAGGCTGGTCAGGGTTGTCCATCACTTGGTGGCGGATGAAGCGGCTCAAAAAATTCATAAACTTACGAACAAAAGTGCGATGCGCTCTTCACTGCAGATCAGATGCAGAGTGCAGTCAGTGCAGATCTTTTGTATCCTTTTGTTGCAGATGTTTCTATTTGCAGAGAACGGTTCACGTGGTCCGCAGCGCTTGTGCGGTTGCTAGTGCTACCTATGGCCTAGGCTAGGTGGCTACATGATTCGCACGCTTCGCGTGCTCAGTGCTTCTGCGCGCGGCTGCTACTGCTACTCGTACTGATCGTGGCTGCTACCACCTACACTGTTCGCACGCTTCGCGTGCTCAGCACGTGGTGGTGGCTACACGATTCGCACGCTTCGCGTGCTCAGTGCTTCTGTGGCTGCTTCCGCTAGCTACACGATTCGCACTCTTCGCGTGCTCAGTGCTCCTGCGGCCGCTAGCTAGCTACACTGTGCTACACTGTTCGCACGCTTCGCGTGCTCAGGGCAGCGCTGCTCCGCAGCGCTTCAGCGTGACACAAAAACACACGTCACAGGTGCCTCTTCTTTATAAGGAGCGTGACACACACACACACAGACACACGTCACAGGTGCCTCTCTTTTATAAGTAAAGATTTATCATACTTGAACTATTACATCAATACTTGTACTGTAGCAGCGTCAGCACTACACTCTACAGCTAGCAGCAGGACATTCTCGACTCTACTAGTCTAGACTGCCACGTGTACTATTGACATAATACAAAAAATGACTGCACATACATCATGTACCTAGTCCCGGCCTACGCTTGCACTGCACTCTCACTGACTGTACAGCTGTCTCAGCTCAGTCTACCCCCCATGCAGTCTACATGCATGCATGACAGCCTACACAGACTGAGTCAGTTAGAGTCAGTACACTGTCACGGGTCACTGCATGCTACATGTACAGCTTTACTTCGCCCCAAGGGCCAAGCCAGGCCGGCTAGGCCAACAAAAAAGCTGCACTGGAAAAAAGTTCAGGCTCCGTCTAGTCAGTGTGTTGCTCGTGGACGCGGTGGCTGGCTCTATTGCCTTCTGTCTGCGAATATCGAATGTGGCCAAGGTTTCAGTACGCAGAGTCTAAGGGCTACTCCTCCTACTGCCGTACTGGCTGGTAGTCTACAGTTCGTGACGGTACTTAGCCTTTCAGCCATTGGTGAAACGTGAGATTTGTACGAGCGCGACTTACTTGGAAGTGGCTACCAAAATTCTGAGGATACTCACACGCTGGTTCTGTTGATTGCGACACTGAAACTATTGTCGCCTCACCGCCTGTGTAAATATTCAATTCGGGTAGAAGTAATGTCGACTAGCCGGAGCGAAAGCAGCAGCAAACGCCGGAGAAGGAGCCCGTGTAAATACTCAATTCGGATAGAAATATTGTCGACTAGCCGGGACAGAAGCGGCAGCAAACCCAGGAGAAGGAGCCTGTGTAAATACTCAATTCCGATAGAAACAATATCGACTAGCCGGGGCAGAAGCGGCAGAAAACGCCGGAGGAGAAGCCAGAGTGAGAGCAGCCCAACCCTGAGCTGTCAGACCAGGAGTGAGAGAGGATCAGACGACGCCATGCGTATGGCGAGGCGATTGAGACGCAAAGATGGACGTGAAGAAAGAAGGGCCATTCGCCATCTGGAACGCTTTAAACGACGCCTTTTACGCACAATGCACGGTTCGGCCGCTCAAGGCCGCAATCGGTCGCATCCATTGCCAGACTTGTCCACCGAAACCGGAGAAGACGAGTTAAACGAACAACGCACTGATCTTGAACAGATTGCTTGCAGGCTATTTCTGCATGCGGAGACTCTATTCAAGTCAACAACTGAAACACCAAGGGTAGCCTCCGGTGGTTTTGAAGACGAGCTCCAGACGTCACCGGTCGATGTGTCCGCAGAAACCGGAGAGGAGCTACAAGATCTCCCTGAGCTTCAACGAAACTTGTACGGGCTAAGCTTGGCAGCGGAGGCACTTCGCAGGACAGCAACACCAAGTGTAGCCCCCGGTGGCTTGAACGAAGAACTTTGGACTGAACCAATGGACGTGCCCGCCGCAGACACTGGAAAGGAGTTTGACGATCTCCCCAAGCTTCAAGGGAACTCGGCCGGGCTAAGTTTGCGTGGAAGTGGCGAGAATAATATGTGAAGTGGAGAGAACCGTCGGCAGGTCAGTTATACACAGGATAGTCCACATTGGTTTGAGAAAAAAGCAGACTTGTGACTGACTCTACTCCTGAACTTGTCAGGCCGAAAACGGTTTAAGGGCTTGATGGAGTGCTTGTGTAGCGGGCCGCAGTCTCTCTCTCTCTCTCTGAGGCAAATGCAGACGGGTCTCAGTGAACACACTGCTTTAAAAGTATTACTCAACTAAACGGAAGACTACATTGTAAACATTAACTCTGACTCTAACTCTAAAACCGACATGAAGAGAATTGTGAACAGCAGCTTTTATAGGGTGTGCAACTGTTAGTGTAAGTAAGCCAGCCTATGAGTCACCAGGGGATACGTAGAGCAGAAACAGAAAGGTCAAAGTAAGATGTGTGGGCCACAGTCATTGCACAAGGAATGCCATTTGATTCTATGCAGAAGAAGGAGCTGAATAGCAGTGTGGGCAATGGGCGTAAAAGAGGCGGTTGAAAGTGCAGCAGTATTTCTAAGGTCAATATGAAACATTGAACGCAGTGAGACTAGTTACTATGCATGTCATGGATCTGCAAGCACGGTACAGAGAGTTGCAAGCACGGTACAGAGAGTTGCAAATGCGTGGTACGGGTGCGGTGTAACACGCGTACGCGTGACCAATACATTGAAAGGGATTCACGCTGCAGCTGTGTGCACGTGATCACCAGCGTGCCAATGCTACACTTGCTCCATGCAGAGGAAAGATACTGTCTTTATCCCAATACATAGAGAGAGTGCATTTTTTACTGGGTTCCACAACCAGGAGCAGTTCCAATGTTCTGACTTACGTCCTACATCAGTACATGTATAAATGTATGTTGTGTTACTCGCACTGAGCATCATCACCACTGATCACAATGACACTGAGCATCATCACCACTGATCACATGACACGGAGCAGTAGCAGTAGCACCACTGATCACATGACACGGAGCAGTACCATCACTGATCACATGACATGGAGCAGTACCACCACTGATCACATGACACGGAGCAGTAGCACCACTGATCACATGACACGGAGCAGTACCACCACTGATCACATGACACGGAGCAGTAGCACCACTGATCACATGCAAGCTGGGCAATAGCACCACTGATCACATGCATGCTGGGCAGTAGCAGCACTGATCACATTGCTTTGGATCCATAGCAAACAGTGTCAGCGACCACCATTGTGTTCGTGATGGTCACAAATTTCAACTTCCACCGCACCAAGGCGTTGGCTAACTGTTACACAAAAGAAAAAGCAATTGCCTTTCCAAATCTCTCCAAACACTTCAAATACTTTCCAATTAATTAACCATTGCCTTGATGTGTGTATAGAGTGGGTTGATGCAGTTGATGCTTTTATATTGCCATCATTAAATTTTTCTCTCTAAGTAACGTTAGGTGACTTTCCAGTAAAATAGAATTATGAAACGAATACACCTGATACATGCATATACAATTTGTGGCTGAGCTTTGGAGCTGTATTCTTTGCCTATGTCTTCATTTCTCTTTGCTTGTATTGCTGAGGCAATACTATGATGCTGTTTTGTGTTCATGTATCCCTATGCCATGATGTATAGACCACTCCTACCCTGTCCCATCCTGCTGGTAGGTGTGAATAATATCAATAATAATAATTTAAAGGAAAGGACCAAAATGTTACATACATGTGTACTACTATCCGTAGTTTGTGTCCATCACTAACACACTAACAGTTACAATGTATAAGCAAGATGTTGTGTAGTCAGAAGGTGCAACAGCTAGCACAATACATGTATGTATAGTGCGACAGATGCTGTGAAACATTTCATGGGCGTTTTAATTTAGGCGTTTTGGGTCGGTGCCGAATATAGCCGAAATTAAATAGCTGCCGAAAATTTGTATATTGACAGTATTTGCTTCCGCGGTTCACGTCTTCTTCCAATACCGAGTACTCTGTACTAGACCTGACCTGCTAAAATTATGCTCACAAAGAATCAGTGCAGTTCCAGCGAGTGGTTGTCTGGCTCATTTGACCCCCTGAGCTCTTTTGTAGCCATGGCGATCTGACGTTCATCACCAGCTAGCTCCCATATCTCAGAATATTTGCATCATTGTTCACTTAAATTTCCTTTTTCTGGACTGCATGTGAATTCGAATTAACTTATTAAAAACAACAACGACAAGAACAGCATGATGCACTGCTGAGTGCTGAGTGAACAGCATGATGCACTGCTGAGTGCTGAGTGAACAGCATGATGCACTGCTGAGTGCTGAGTGAACAGCATGATGCACTGCTGAGTGAACAGCATGATGCACTGCTAAGTGAACAGCATGATGCACTGCTGAGTGAAGAATGAACAGCATGATGCACTGCTGAGTGAAGAATGAGGTAAAAACGAGTTTCACGGTCCAGCCAAGGAATAAAAAATTGGCAAGGACACAAAAACCATAATTATCGAAATGAGGAATGTAAATGTGTTCATCAGGAGTTACAATGCAGCAGTTGAGTCACGATGATGGGGCGAGGTGTCGACTCGAGCGAACTGTCCTGTACCTTAAGTTAGAGGCGGGTTTGCACCCCTGTTTGCTATGGGCGCGTTCGAATTTGACCATGGACCAGCACTCAGCAGTGCTGCCGGCTGCAAGGCCAGCGCCCCGTGGCTGCTTGCCATCTGAACAGAATGATTTCAATGTCGGCTACTAGTACTGTACATTGTCATTGTTACAACATTACTACTCATGTCTACAGTGTAGTCTCAGTGTTTTTTTTGTTGCTGTTGCGCATGTCCCGGCTGTCATCATTTTGAAAGTACATCTTTACTTATAAAAGAGAGGCACCTGTGACGTGTGTCTGTGTGTGTGTGTGTGTGTCACGCTCCTTATAAAGAAGAGGCACCTGTGACGTGTGTTTTTGTGTGACGCTGCCCTGAGCACGCGAAGCGTGCGAACAGTGTAGCACAGTGTAGCTAGCGGCCGCAGAAGCACTGAGCACGCGAATCGTGTAGCTAGCGGAAGCAGCCACAGAAGCACTGAGCACGCGAAGCGTTCGAATCGTGTAGCCACCACCAAGTGCTGAGCACGCGAAGCGTGCGAACAGTGTAGGTACGGTGGTAGCGCTTATACTTATAACAGACACGATCAGTACGAGTAGCAGTAGCAGCCGCGCGCAGAACTGAGCACGCGAAGCGTGCGAATGTACCTAGCCTAGCCTAGGCCATAGGTAGCACTAGCAGCCGCACAGCCACAAGCGCTGCGGACCACGTGAACCGTTCTCTGCAAATAGAAACATCTGCAACAAAAGGATACAAAAGATCTGCACTGACTGCACTCTGCATCTGATCTGCAGTGTCGCACTTTTGTTCGTAAGTTTATGAATTTTTTGAGCCGCTTCATCCGCCACCAGGTGATGGACAACCCTGACCAGCCTCCCGAAGGCGTAACAGACGTCCCTCCTTCTCCTTCCAACGATGAAGAACCTCCCTCACCAGGACTTCAGCGGTCTGGCCACCACCACGTGCTGAGCACGTGTGCTGTTCATGTACTTGCTTCACCCGCATGCCACATTCGGCCAGGCAACGCTGGCGGGGGTGCTGCTAGTTTTTCTACAAAATCCACATGTCTCCAGACACTGGGGTGAATAATGTAGCGTGGTTAAGCTCAGCCGACCAGAGGTTATAGCTCCATGGCCATATGGACGCACCATGAACGGGTAATTATGTTAGATTCTGTAACTACTGACATACATGTAGCTGTTTTCAATACTTTTATGCAGTCTGTAGTGTTTAATTTTCAACTCTGCACCACGTCCCCCCCCCCCTCCTCAAGTTCACTTGTGTAACATGGGAAATTGTGGGCACAAGTTATGATAATTATATCCATCCGAGTTCTCACTTGTGCAAGCACTGATTACCGGCTGAGCAGCTTTGACAACCACCATAGTCATGCCTATGCACTGAATTCGCACTTGTGAAAGGATACATTCTACTCAACAAACTAAGAAGCGTGGGAAACCTCAAATAGGTAAATATAGATGTCTGGCGACTTCGAGGGCTGGATGAGCAAACACTTTTGCTCGCTATATCGTCAGCAGTGCTAATCTACAATAATCAAGGTTTGAGCATTCCATGCCAAATAGTATACCCTGCTGCATACATGGACACACCCGCATGCTCTGCACACAAAAGGCACAAAAGCTGAGGTCTTTTCAAGAGTTTGCCACAGGTCCGAGTTTTCTGCTAAATGCAATCGTCCGGGGAAACAATTTCAATGGAAATTCCTACTTATCATGCTATATAGATCATACATGAGGCAGAAGAGGATGCAAACTGTGGAAATTTTTTACATGTATGCGCAGTGGGCAAACTATAATTTCTCAACCAAATCTAACATGCAGGAAATCTGCAGCATTGCAATGTATTCGAGTCTAGCCATGCAAGTGTTGGTCTGATCCCACATGTAGGTGCAGTGCATTGATAACATGTTATGGAGCGTGATGGAAAAGCAAAATGGCCTTTAGGAAAAAATTAATAGGTTTCAAGCACTATCGGTGATAGTTGATTTTGGCATGTCTTGAGCAGTATCAGAGGATGCTCAAAAGCACAGGGCGTGCACACTGAGCCAATATGCTAGCCGAAACACATATACAGGATCAGATGCACTGCACGGTCCAGGCTAGACTGATGGTAGTCTTTCCCTCGACATGTACAGGGCACGAAACAGTCACGTTGGTGAAATTGTTTGCTCGAGATCTCAAGCGAGCTGAAGTCGTATGTTGGCAGTGGCACTACGAGCATGTTCGGCAGCAGGCTCTTCTAATAGAGGGATTCAAGCATCCGCCTAGCTCGTCCTGACGATTACACTGCGCGAAGCTCGTATCCACACACTCCTGATTTATACCTACAGATTGAACAAGGAAAATGAGAGAAGGAATGTGTCAGCAATTATAATGGTCTACGATGTCATCATTTTAGGGGCCGCCCGAAATTATTGATCATTTTCACGAAGAGAAAAAGGTTTCGTTTATGGGTGGGTGGGTTGTGGAGAGTTACGTTTTGAAAATTATTGATAGCTGAAACATCAATCCATTCCAGCTGTCATGTCAATATAGAGGGTGGGTGGGGAGGGTCACAACTAAACGTTTTCGCTCCATGAAAATTATCGAGAATGCCGGATGGCCCCTTATGATGCAAAAAACGTCTTCGATAGCTTGGTGTGAATATTTTAGTACAAAGAAATATTTATACAGTTGTCTTGAGCAGAGTGATCCTTGATCCTTGAAGGGTGGTGGCGTTCCTACGGATGCGGAAAACTCGGCCTCTATATAGAGCAACCGAGTCTGACGCGAACTGTGATTTTTTTTGAGCAGAGTGTTGAGTAACTGGACTATCAGAAACCCCACATAGCAGACACATTTTAAAATTTGAGGGAGCTGGGGGGGGGCAGATAGAGTAGGGTCTAATTGAAATCACCACCACCGCCACCGTCAGCTCCAGCACCAGCACTACCAGCACCACCGCCGTGTCGCCGCCGCCATCACCAGCACTCTAACCAGAAACCCTTGATTCCTACTCATCTACTGTGGTATGGTAAAGTTGTTACACATGCAATGACCATTCCACATTGCAATTCAGACTTTGCAATTCATCAATAATGTATTAGAAAAAAGGCATCTAGATTGAAACTACAACACAGTTGGGTAAAGAAGAACGGTGCACCGGAAAAAAACTTGGCTGTGAACTCAGCAAGCAAAGCTTATCAAGGCTACATCGACGGTGACTCAACTGTGCACAGACTGAAGAAACTAGATTAAAAAAAACAACAGGAACTGCCCAAGTTAAGACCCTGATCGCCCAGTTCCATGGCACCTGACGGTACTTTAAGAATTGAGGAATGCTATTGTTGTGATATGCAGTCAGACCTCGCTTAACCGCACATATCCGTTATCCACAGAAAAATCAGGATAGGCGAGGGAACTGAATAACCGAACACGGGTTATGTTGGATGCATTACGTATGCTGTAAATCTGTAACCAGCTATTTTCTTCCGGATTGCGAGGGATCCGGATAAATGAGGACCGGACACACGAGATCTGACTGCACAATACTGTCGGGCGCCGAAGAACTGGGGGGGGGGGGGGGGGGTCAGGTTCAGGTTCTAGATAGGGGTGAAACGAATATACTGAACATTCGACTATTCGTTCGTTAGGCCACAGCGAACGAACATTCGTAGTTCTCACGAACATTCGAACTTTGAAAATGTGCGTACGGTACGATAAACCCGTAAAAACATCGCGATCAGTCACGATCGTTTCACACACCGCCTGTAGAATATGTGTAGCTGCGTGCTTGTGACCAGCGCTGCGCCAGGTGGTACACGACCCGCGCGCGCGCGCGCGCGCGGTTCACGATCTGAACCGGCACTTGGCTGGAGTCGAGGTGACGACATGTAGACGAACATCGGAACAAAGCACGAGTACTCGTACATGTACTTACATATTCCTTTGACCACTTCGTAGTTTTCTTTTGTTTCGAGTTCGCACTGTTCCCATGTCAGAAACTGTTTTCGGTCGTGCTCCCCGTTCTGTTGTTTGGGATCATTTTACAAAATCCGAGGATGAGAAGTCAGCTACCTGCAGGATTTCCCGCAGCGTATGTTTATAGTATGGCAAAATGGCGAGCAACCTCTATGCGCACCTGGAAACACAACTACGGTAACTTTCAGCATTCTTCTGTCGTCTCTGGGAGTGCAGTTATTTCTACAGCATCAACACTGAACAGGAAGCAAGTTGATGACAAACGTTGCTGTGACGCAACGTTCTGGTCCTCAGCAGTGGCAGTATGGCGTTGCTCAGTTGGAGGCCATTGTGCCTCAACTTTTGAAAGCATCATAAAAGGCGTACTGAAAAGTTAGAAACTTTCGCAAGTGATAAAATTTCGCTACTTTCGCGGCCATTGCGCATTCTGGAGAAGAAAAATCGCCACAAACTGCAGTACGTGCATTGTAGACAGCACAACTACAAGATTCAAAAGAGGTAAAAATCTAAAAAAATTCTCATCACAAACCAGCCGCATTCATGAAAACGCAAAATGTGTGCACCACAAAAGTTTATTGCTATACTGTATTCAAAAATTCCACTATTTTCTTGCCTATGCCGGTTCGTGCGCGAGCACGCGCGTGCGACGAGAATGTTAGAGAATGTTCGTTCGTTCGTTAACATCAAGAACGTTTGAATACTCAAATTTTATGTTCGTTTCAGCCCTAGTTCTAGACTAGACCGTTCTTGTTTTTAGCGAACACAGCAGTTTCGTTCTTATTCGATGGAACAGTATTACATGTACATTTATGCAGAGTTATACGTCTGAGTGTACATTATGGTGTTATTACGATTTCCGTTCTTATCTGCAAAAATCCAGCCTACACCGTTCGTAAAAATTGGCAAAATTCTAGCCTGGCCGTTCTTCGGCGGTCCGTTCTTTGGCGGTCCGTTCTTCGGCGGTCCGTTCTTCGGCGGTCCGTTTTTCGGCGGTCCGTTCTTCGGCGGTCCGTTCTTCGGCGGTCCGTTCTTCGGCGCCCGACAGTACTACACACCTAACCCGAGTCTTGTGATGTGTCGTCCATCAAGATACTCTTTACTAGCCGGTGTTTGCCTCTCTCACCTTCTGTACATGGCTGTGTGTTACACTCCATACGTTCGGCTGGCTTGATACAGATGGGACAGGATCTCGCCTCGTTGTTGGCAACCACATTGCGACACTTCACATCGCGGGTCTTCCAGCCACCACCGCAGCTTCGAGAGCACTGTGCCAGCAACACGTAGTCACAGTCACAAACACACATACACAAACACACATACACATACACACATACATATACACACATACATATACACAGACGCACCCAGGCACACGCACGCATACATACACCCAAACACATGCACACAAACACGTGAATACACACAGACACATAGTATTACACACACACACACACACGCGCACGCACGCACGCACACAATCACACAATCACACACACACACACACACACACACACACACACACACACACACACACACACACACACACACAGACAGACAGACGGACACATACACAAACATACACACACACACACAAATACGAAAAAGAGAATACTGTGTTTTACCGTTTATAAGTCGACCTCCAAAATTTGGACAAACGGCGAGGAAACAATAATTTGATAACCGCGATCAATAAGACAAGCTGAATCGTTTTCATTACCGTAGTGTCGCCCTTAACCCTTTCCATGCCAGCATGTTTTCCTGTGTTGGCCACACATTGTTCAGGCGCTGAGCTCAACTGTTCAAAGCTGCACGCGCACATCAGTACGAAATTTATTGCTATTTCACTGTACCTTGATGGATTTTCACCATCCATGGCTTGTTGCAAAGATCTGGACAACAGGAAGCCATTTCAGGGACTCACAGCGCGACAGGCATACCAGGGCCACTTCCATCTCCTCTCAATGTCCCCCTACCATGCCTGAAAATAACAAAACGACTGCCTCTCATGTTTTCTTTCGTCTTCTTGCTCATTGTGAACTGATTTTCACGATTCAAACTGCGTTAGAAAGCTGAGATTCAAGCGCGTTTGTTGCAGCTGACTGCGCACGCGCTGTGTCTAGGGGAAATCTCCTAGCCCGCACGAAGTCGTGAACAAAAAATTTGAATCGATCGCCAAAAAATGAAATTTGCTCATTCTGGCCGTTCAATTTATCGCCGCTCGATCATACCTTGTCGTATCGCAAAGAACTTTATATCCCTGGAAAGATGAGCTCAAGACCTTTTCCAGGGGTGTCTCAACCTTAGCAGTCCGAGATATTTTGACGGAGTTACGACAGTTTGTACACTCGTCTATAGCGCGCGATACACATGTACTGTACAGTGTACATTGTACAGTGTAGGCAGAACGCGTAAACGCGTCCGTGGCCAATCGGCTCATACTAAAAAAACGCGTATACGCGTCCATGGCATGGAAAGGGTTAATGTAGTTTTTCTTAGACGGTGTTTACGGTGTTACTTCCTATTTCCATCGCTTTATTGCATTTGTCTTCACCGTCTTATATTGCATGAATAAAGTATACAACAATGTCGATTCAGGTTGTCTTATTGATCGCGTTTATCCAACTTTTGGAGCTTTACCGGTCCAGTTTTTAGATAATGTTAATCAATAGTAGTCGAAACCCGGTTGTCAGCAGACTACCCCCTTTTTTTAAAATAATAGCTATGAAAAGTTTGAATACCGCATACATCACCACGCAACATGACAACTTGTTAGAGGCTTGACATAGTCCGCTCCCGGAATCGATTATCAAGCTCCGATCATCAGTGGAAATACAGAGCTCAGAAGATCAAGTGAACAAACAAAATGGTTATACTACACATCCAATTTCAAACCTCTAATTTTTTTAATGCTGCGTGGTAATGTCTGCGGCATCAAGAGTCCATAACCCCAAGAGTGTGCAACTCTGAACATGGAGATCCGCGCGGCGGAATTCCAACATTACGCCAAAAATGATGTACAAGTTCGTTGCGCTTGTACTACTCCCCGGTTCCAAGCACCTCGGAATGCGGAGTTTTGTCCTCTGTGCCTGGGCGGCATGACGTAATGTTGGATTTCCGCCGGGCAGTGGGCCTACAGTAGCCAGACCCCAGTTGCGCACTCTTGGGGTTATGGCCTCTTGGCGGTATTCATACTTTTCATAGCAGGCAGCCATAATGGGATGGTCTAAGACCATGATTGAGAAACAGCGGGTACCAGGCTCAAGCCCTGCTTGGAAGCGGAAGGATTTTTTTCCAGGCGTGCAGCGACCCACGGTTAATTGGGAACTCGTGGCACGAGGAAAACATGGATGCAGTGAATGAGATTTTCGGTCTTCGACCACTTGCTGGTGAGCTGATCTACTCCCACCGCTTTAGGAGCTGCATCTGCGCCTTGATCCTTGAAGGGTGGTGGCGTTCCTACGGATGAGGAAAACTCGGCCTCTAGCCGAGTCTGACGCGAACCGTGCATTCTTTTAATAGCTAATATAAAACTATCATCTCCATGTAGATTACATCATCTCCATGTAGATTACATCATCTCCATGTAGATTACCTCTTTTTAATTGAGATTTTAGGCCATAGAAGGTCAATCTATTGCCGGAGAAATTCAGCAAGGCCAGAGCAACAACGCAAGAGCGACACTTGATCACTGCGTGCAAGTGGCGACAGATTTTTCCGCGGACACACCACATCAACGCCAAAGAAAATACAACTCCTATGAAGAGGGTTGCACTGCCTGACAAGTTGTTGCGCGTTGAGGACACAGAAGAAGAGAAGTCTCTTGCGCCTGCGTTTCTGTATACAGTAGAACCACCGTGACTAGCGACCAGCCTGGTACTAAAGACCGCTTCGCCAGGCACGGACGATCTCATATTCATATATTATGGTTGTGCAGTGCAAACCTCTAACTAAGGACCACCTGCCACTAAAGACCGCTTTCTCCGGCCCCAAGGGGTGGTCGTTAGTCACAAGGTTTACTGTATGTGTCAATGAGGGAGACTGACGTCATGTCAAAGCCGCACGACGTGCTAGGGCGCTACCGAATTATCTGCTTCGATCACATCTCTAACCTAGTTCATGAGTCCATTGATAAGCACTGCGTACACCCACCTGCTTGCAAATTTGGAAACTAAAACTTGTGCAGGAGTCACCCCAGTTTATATTGTCTAGTGATAATGTGAACAGAACCGAGTGATTCCCGATCTTCATCATGCGACTAAAAATAAATACTTTTTGTGTAGAAATTGATCATGTCACATGGACAGTGGAATCAACATGGCCACCGACGACATGTGACCCATACATGCCGTGCCTGAGTGGAGTTGGAACCAACATGGCTGCCACTCATGGTCCTGCAATACAGATAATGTGAAAACACTCTGCAGTTTACCTGAGTCCAGTTGGTAGGGATCCACTTGTAGGTTCCACGTCCGTCTTCTTGGCACCTGCGATGATCAGACGGCTTTGCGACAGTGACGTTTACACAGCTGGCGTCCCCGCTGTACTCTCGTGTGACCGGGTTGTGGCACCAGATTTGGCGTCTCTGGTCGCATTCCACAGAGCACTGAGTTTGAATGGGCACAGGTACCAATGCACGTACACACACATACATGTACGCATATACACCCATACACACACACATGCACACACACACACATGCACAAAACACACAAAAATACACACACATACATTATGAATGCAAAACCTGTCCTTTACAAACCATAATTAACAGACTCTGCTGTAGATTTATCCATCAGATTAAACTGCTGAAAGCCCCAATTAAAAGTAAAGTAAATAATCGTGTCCGTTCCCGAAGGGAACTCACGACGGCCGCTAACACCCGATAAACCCTAGCGGCAGATGCAGCGCCTAACGGTGGGGGTGAGTGGGCAAGTCTCACAACCACTGGCACAAGTGCCGAAAACGACCCCATTAGCTGCATCCATGTACCCCTTGTGCCTGGCCACAAGTTCCCAGTTGACTGTGGGTAGCAGCACGGCTGGAAAAACCGCTCCCAGGCAGGACTTGAACCAGGTACCTCTCGTATCTCAATCATGGTCTTTGACCAACCCACTATGCCTGCCTGCCCCAATGCATATTCAAAAATGCGCTTAACTGGTTTAACTTCTCTTCGTCAAGTCGTAATACACTAAGATTCCCTATTTCAAGAAATAACTCAATGAGTCGCTCGCCTGTTTTCATTAGCTATTGTCTCTGGGACTCGCTTCCCCAAAAACTGAAATCATGTGAAAACATGTCTGCCATTGTTCGTGATCTCTCGGACCATTTCCCGTAAACCTAACGAGAGAGCTTGGAAGCTCAGGGCCCTACGCTATGCTTTTTTTGCCTTGATGACCTAGACAAAAAAAAAAGCATAGGGATGTTATAAATTCTTTAAAAAAATCCTTTTTTTAAAGACATAACCTGGGATTCGAACCCGCACTATCGCGCGCCCTGCGTGCATCCCCCGATACACTTCGCATACATTTGTTTGTTTGTGTGTTTGTTTGTGTCACGCCTGGCGCTATCCGTATCTGACGGCAAAAAAGCATAGGATGTTATAAATTTTTCAATTCTCCTATTTTTTTCAGGCATATCCTGGGATTCGAACCCGCACTATCGCCCTACATGCATTCCCCCATACACTTCGCATTCATACCCATTCTTCCAAGTTGTTTCACATTGTGATCTTGCATTTGAAAGCCCTATTTGAATACCGGTATGCATTGTGGCCAGCCGTCTTTGATGGCACGGTACGGTAGGGGATAGGTACGGGACAGGTACGATCGAGGGTAATACGACACCGTCTCCCGTACCGTACCGTACCATCAAACACAGCTGGCCACATACAGCTGCCCGCAATATTCAAATAGGGCTTTCAAACGCAAGATAATAACGTGAAGCAACTTGGAAGAATGGGTATGAATGCGAAGTGTATGGGGGAATGCATGTAGGGCAATAGTGCGGGTTCGAATCCCAGGATATGCCTGAAAAAATAGGAGAATTGAAAAATTTATAACATCCTATGCTTTTTTGCCGTCAGATACGGATAACGTTAGCGCCAGGCGTGACACAAACAAACAAACACACAAACAAACAAATACCAAATTAAAGCTGTGTGGACCCTGGCTAGCGCCAGACGTTACTGAAGTAACGTCTTCTGCATAGCTACGGGAATAATACAACTTGATTTGCAGCCCAATCTCTTCTTTTATGGTTGTTGTTCTGATTTGCATTTGATTTTCTTTCTTCTTCTTTTTTTGTCATGGCTGGCTATAATCGCCCTCACCTCCTCCTTGATTGGCCTTGGCCATGAGTGTGCGCACAATAATAATAATTATAATTATTATACATACACGCATACAGACACACACACACACACACACACACACACACACACACACACACACACACACACACACACACACACACACACACACACACACACACACACACACACACACACACACACACACACACACACACACACACACACACACACACACACACACACACACACACACACACACACACACACACACACATACAAACAAAGGCAAACACATATATACAATCATATGTATACGTACGCAAGTACACACATGCACACACAAATCCAGCCACTCACACACACACATACAGTGACACACACACCCCCCCCCCACACACACACACGCACACACACACACACACACACACACACACACACACACACACACACACAGACATACATGTACATTGTAGTCATTAGAGAGTTTCTATTTATCACAGACTGTCTTCACATCATTCATCCCTTTCTGCATCCAGAGAAACGCCATCACCCTCAAGGACCAAGGCGCAGATGCAGCTCTTAAAGTGGTGGTAGGTAAGATGATCACACCCACCACCAAAGTGGTCAAAGACCATCTGCTGCATTCGTGTTTCCCTCGTGCCCAGTTCACGGGTTCACTGTCGGTTTCAGCACGGCTGGAGAATTGCCACAATCAGTACCCTGGGTACATTAAGAATCTTTGGCGATCGCAGCTGATGTAACAACGGTCTCATTGAATTTCATTACAGCCTGGGGTTCAACGTCCACAAGTGCAGCTAACAGAAATCGAAAATACCGAAATATCGATAATAATATCGCTTCACCACTAGGAATTATTGAATGATCGTTTCAGCCCTATTTCAAATGCATGTTACATTCATCCTCCTCCTCCCCTCACAGCCACTTATCTCGTTCTTTGTATCTATCCCATGTCCTCATCTCAGTCGTATTCACGATAGCATGTCCCACTTGAAGACGAAATCACTGATCGCAAGCATGCCAGCATGCATGTAGCCTTACCCTGCTCCACTCAATGGCATGCCAGGTGAAGTATCCGGCTGCTGTGCAGTCCACACGGACACATGGTCTGGAACGAGTCGGTGGCTGCGGTCCGCTGTTATTGCAGAAGTGGGCAGTGGCGTCCTCCTGCATGCATATGCGTGAACACACAAACATGCATACACGTGAACACACAAACATACATACGCGTGAACACACAACCACACATACATGTGAACACACAAACATGCATACACGTGAACACACAAACATGCGTACGCGTGAACACACACAAATGCATACACGTGAAAACACAAACATGCATATGTGTGAACACACAAACATGCATACACACATGCATACGCAGCAGTGGCGTGTCTAGGATTTGGCTGGGGGGGGGGGGGTTGCGGCCGGGATGGGGTGGGGGTAGATGACATCATGCTACTGTCCCAGGTCAGCCATTTAGAAAACCGCTGGTGTTTCTGTAGCCGTGCATGCTCACTTGTACACTGGTACTCTGTAGTGTGTACAATCAATACCAGCTCGAGCACCGTACAGTGCAACCGCTTTTGGACGATCGTTTCAGGCCGCGGGCGCACCCCCAGCCCTGCCTTCTATTTTTCGAAACCTAGGTCGAAACTTTTTTTGGGGGGCGCATGCCCCCGCGCACCCCCTAAACCCGCCACTGCATACGCATAATCATACACAATAGGGAGTTTCGCTCTACGTAATTACGTATGAAAATCCGTATGTCGTACGCGCCGGGGAGCGAGGGCAGCTTTCATACGTAAATCTCTCTACGGCTCTACGGAAGCTCTTTCCTACGTTGCGTCCTCCGTAGGACTTTTTTGAAATATTTTTGCATTTTCCCCATTTGTCCATGGCAACGTTCAAGCCGCGCGAAACACAAGGTACACACACCGTACACCACGTGCAAAATAAGATGGAAAACGCGGTTTCGGTTCATGGTGCATGCGGTGGGCGCATGCAGCCAACGCGTCTCCAAAGCAACAACGCATGTTTAGCAGTCGTGGATGAATCACGTAGAGCGAAACTCAGCAGCTCTGATTTTTACGTATGAAAATTCCGTGCAGTTCCTATGTTATTTTCTTACGTAATTCCGTAGAGCGAAACCTCCCTGATATAGACACACGCGTACCGCAATGTTGCGTACTGAAACCAGGTTGACCTGTAGCCGCCAATGTCAGGGCTAGGCTTCTATTCAAACCAGGTACTGCCATACTTGTCAACACAAAAACCAGGCATGTGTACGAACAATGTACTTGGTCCGACTTATTAAAATGTGCGCTTCACTTCAAAACTCAAGCATATGTACAAACGAGCACCTGTACTAAAAAATCAACCAAGAGACGGTAGATAGATAACTACTGTGTCGTTTCTTGGCCTGACCTTCTAGTTTTCATCGCTGCTGGTGTCTCAGGGCGCATCTGCAAGTGCGTCAACCTGCAAAACGTCGCCATTTTTTCATCTAGTCCATGCTACACTGCGCTTCTTTGATTTTTTCACTCCACAGGCACGATTTACACGATCGACTTCACCTCCTCCTCGTGCAGTACGACTACCAAAACGGTGGCTGTAGGTGTTTTCGCCTGAAGCTCGCACGACACCTTCAAATGAGGCGAACTGTAAACCACCACGCATAAAAAATCACTTCTGACCACCGTGTACCGCGCGCGTACTGAGTCTGAGCTGTGTCGACATGTCATGCAGTCAGACCATGCGCGCTCTTCCCTGCCTGTTTCACGAATCCACTGCACTGGCCCCGGAGACTGGCGATCTTGTGACGCATCGCGGATAATTCCCCCTTTCTGCGCTTCAGTTTTCCAGGCAGGTTGTCGCCTGAAAGTCGACCTCAAGGCCGGTTATATATTTCGATCAACTTCTCGACGATCTCTTCTGTGATCTTGATTCGTCGGCCGCCACATCGTGAACGACTGCGAGAGAGATCAGCAAACTGGACGGAGCGATGCTGGTGCTTTCTGCACGAGTTTCTGGATGACGCGTTTGCTGAAATTCTGCCAAGGAAACAGCGATTGCAGCGATTTCCATCCGCCAGGAGGCACTCGAGAACGATCGCCCAGGAGGTTTTGCTACTCCGTGACAATCCCCCATCGCAGCGGGGTGTTGATTTCAGCACCAGGCCTGCTCTGTGTTGCGCGAGAAGCAACAGGAGTCCTCTGACGACAAAATTTGGTCGCAAAATGCTCGAGTCGACTAGGATCCTGAGCCGCTGCCTCCGTTGGAGTTGGAGCCATTTCTTCTTCAACATCACAAATTGACAACTGGAGGATAGTGTTAGGTAGCTGGAAAGTTTATTCCGTCCTGAGATTATTTGAATTTGTTTGGTTGACGTTCGAAGTGAAACGCACATTTTAATAAGTCGGACCAAGTACCGTATCTTGAAAATTAGACTTCAGAACAGGCTTGCGACAGTGGAAATGGCTGGCCAACACCCCCTCCTATATATTCGCTGTTGCTGTTGGACGGTGAGATGGATAAGAACCCGATCCACATAACATGGACACCATATTGATGGCTTACCACAAATCCAGTGGATCTGAGAACCTTGCAGATATAGGGCCGTGTCTGCACGCCGTTGGTACCACACGTGGTGCTGCACTCTCCGTAAGTCGTGGCCAGGACCCACTCGCCGGGACAGTCGACCTCGCGGCACGACTTCTTTCCGTCTGGCTTTGGCAGGTGCGCACACAGCGTGTTCACGACGATGTACTTCACGCCGGTGTCCTTGGCCGTCGACGTGCACACCACGGAACGCTCCTGTACTCCTGATCCGCAGGAGCGCGTGCACTGCGCCCATTCACCCACGTCCCACGCCAGCGTCCCGTCGCGACACGGCGGATTGTTGCAGAGGATCTCCTTCTGAAACTCGCCGCCGGCGCAGTTGTTATCCGGGAGGCGCGTGCGCCGATCTCGCACGTCCAGGCAGAGGATCTCGCGTGTGCGCGTGCCCTCCCCGCATTCGGAGCTGCACTCGCTCCATGCGCCCGGCACCCAGACTCCGGGGCATAGGTCGTTGTTGCAGGGTCGCGTCAGAATGGCCGGTTCCGACTCGCACTGTCCTGGCGCGGCGACCAGCACCCCTGCAGCACTGATCTGCTGGCACACACCCGTGCTGATCTCGACCCCGCCGCCGCATGTGGCATTGCACTGTCCATACTGACCGTAGGTACGCATAGCCGGGCATGCAACAGCAGCGCACGTTCTGCTGTCAATTGGTCGCTGTTGGCCGGCACATTCGGCGGATCCGATCGGAATGGTCCTCCCTGTGTACTGCAGCACCTGACACCTCACTGTGCGACGTTGAACGCCAATACCGCAGCTTTCAGAACACTCCTGCCAGGCAGCGAATGACCAGCGTGGAGCACAGTTGCGAATGTTACACTGCCGCGCCGCGGCTGGTTTGATGAGAGTGCACTGCGCTTCGTCTGCGATTTCCCCGTTACTAAACTGGCACTCAACTCTACGTGTTTGTGTACCGGCGGCACCACACGTGTGCGTACACGTTCCGTATTGACCCGATACCCAGCGGGGCGGACAGCGTTGAGTGGCGCAGTCCTGTACCACGGGAAGACTGGCCAGGCCCTGGCACAGGCGTCGGCTGACCTGATTATCCCCGTCCACTGTACGCTGGAAGCAGCTGAGACGCCGCTGTTGCTGCCCTGTACCGCATGTAGCACTGCATTGTCGCCAGGCACTCGGCACCCAGCGAGCCGGGCAACTCTGCGTGTTGCATCTCTGCCGTGGAGCCGGCTGTCTCAAGCGCAGTCGCTGGCACTCTGTATTGGCAACGACACCGTCAGTGCCCGTACCGCGCAACACTCGGCACTCAACGGTGCGGCTTTGCAGACCGCCAGCGCACGGTGTGCTGCATTCGGTGAACGAAGACGAGTAGTACCTGGCCGGGCAGTCCACTCGCGAGCAGTCTTGTCGCTCCAGTGGCCGCTGTCCGCTGCACTCGGTGTCCGCTACCGTTTGTATCGCGCCTCCTTCCAGGTCCTGCTGGCATAGTATGTCGCGAGTCTGGAAACCGTCTCCACCGCAAGACGCACTGCAATCGGAATACTGCTGCGGGCGCCACGTTGCCGGGCAAATCACGGGGAAGCATGGACGCGAGCTGATTGGCGGGAATGCATTTGCACAATCTAAGACACTGGCCGCTTGGACGCGAGATCCGTTGGCCAGGATACGTGAGCAGTATACACGCCTGCGTTGTATGCCGTTACCGCACGTCTGACTACACGTTGTCCATTCGTCGGCATACCACCGGGCAGGGCAATCTATTGAGTTACATGTCCGCGTCTCGACTGGACGTAGAGCTGCCACACAGATCGAGTCGTCCACCACCTCCAGCTGTCCGTTGGCCTTGCGCTGTTCGCAGGTGATGATACGAGACTGCGATCCGGTGGCACATGACTTGGAGCAACCGTTCCAGGGCATGGCTTGCCACGTGCCGGGTAAGCAGTCGATTGCGTTACACTCGCGCACCGTTTGCGGCTTCAGCCCCGGACACTGGTCGTCATCAACCAGGATCTTAACTCCGGTGGAGATGACCTGCTCACACTCCACCGCTCTCTGTTGCTGCCCAGTGGCACAGCTACGAGTACACGCACTGTACTCGTACAGTTCCCACTCGGGAGCACAGTTCGGTGCTTGGCACGCCTGTCGTGTAGGCGGACGGCTGGCCCGCGGGCACTCGGAGTCCGTTGTGTTGACAATCTCGCCGCTGGCCAGCGTGGCCTCGCAGTACACGAAACGGTCTTGCGTGCCGACGCCACCGCAAGCCAGAGAGCAGTCTCCCCACGGTGCGGTGCGCCATATGGGCGGACAAGCCAGCACATTGCACTGTTGCTGATCGGCAGGGCGAGAGTCAGCTGTGCAGAGTGTGTCAGCAACGACGACCTGGTCACCGGAAGCCTGCAGCTGCTCACACCACACGTCACGACTCTGTCCACCCGTGCCGCACGAGCGACTGCACGGTCTCCACTCGGCGTCGGACACCCAGAATGGCGTGCAGTCCACGACGGAGCAGAACTCCTCATGCGGCGGCATACTCTCCGCCGAGCACTCGTTGTCCGGTATGCGCAGCAGTGTGCGGTTGCCTAGCAACTGCTCGCAGAAGACGGTGCGTCGGCGCGTACCTCGGCCGCAGGTCTGACTGCACTCGGACCAGGTTTGGTACACCCAGATGTGGTCGCAGTCGTTCTCCATGCATCTCTCTATGACAGCTGGTTTGTCGTTGGCTATGCACGCTGAGTCATCACGTGGCACGGTGACCCCGGAGCCGAGGAGCTGCTCGCACAGCACCGCACGAGTCCGAGTACCGCCTCCGCACGTTCGACTGCACGGCGTGAACTCCAGAGGTCTCCACTCGGGCGAGCAGTCCACGTTGCCGCAGTCGTTTTCGGTGTCGGGCCGCAGCCCGGCTGCAGCACACTGACTGTCAGACACCGGCAGGGTTACGCCATCACCCCGCAGCTGCTGGCACGTAACTGCACGTCGTTTCCTGCCGCCACCGCAGGTTACACTACACTCGCCGTACGCAGTCGTGTGCCACTCCGGTGGGCAGTCAGTTTGCCGACACGCCTGTATCTCCACCGGACGCAGGTCGAACTCGCACAGAAGGTCGTCGACGGCGACGCGTTGACCCGTGGCCTGCAGCTGCAGGCACTGGACGATGCGGTCCTGCACACCACCACCGCATGTAACCGTACACTCACCGTACTCATTGGGATGCCAGTACGCACTGCAGGACACTTCACTGCAGCGCTGTTGTCGTGGCGGCATGCTTGGCGCATCGCACTGCAAGTCGTCCACCACCACCGTGCTGCCGTTGGCGACGACTTGCTGACACTGCACGAGGCGAGACTGGGAGCCGTTTCCGCAGTCCCGAGAGCACGGCTCGAATCCGTACGGTTGCCAGAACGTGGGGCAGTCTACGACGTTGCAAGCACGCAACGAAGCCGGCTCCGCTAGACCGGCACCACTGCACACATCATCGTGCACTCTTGCCAAGGCACCCTCCGGCTGCACCTGCTCGCAGTACACATCCCGTTGCTGCGTTCCACCGCCGCACGAGACAGTACACTGGTAGTAGACATCAGCTATCCACACCGGGGGACAAGCTATCACGTTGCAAGGCTCAACGGGGGCCGGCATATCCTCCAGGCAGTTCTCGAACTGTACGTCGACAGTGAGGCCAGTGGACTGCAGTTGAAGGCAGCGAACTTCCCTGCTCTTTGTGCCCGCACCGCAGGTTAACGTACACTCTGAGAACTCCTCTGCTTGCCAGTAAGGTATACAGTCGATCTCACTGCACCGCTGCTGTTCCGCCGGCTTCGGTTGTGGGCAGTCTGCGTCAGCGACGACAACATCCACGTTTCCCGTGGCCAAGCGTTGCTGACAGAACACTGTGCGACTCTGTGAGCCGTTTCCGCACGTCTGCGAGCAAGCCAGGTAGCGCTCTCGGACCCAAATGGGCGGACAGTCATGTACATTGCACTCACGAACATCCGGCAGTTGGGATTGAACAGGGCAGATACCGTCATCTACCACTACGAGATCGCCAGTCGATTGCACCTGATGGCAGAACACCTGCCGCCGCTGAGTTCCTGTACCGCAGGACTCCGTGCACGCTCCATAGGCGGTGGCGTTCCAGTATCCTGGGCAGTTGATAACATTGCACGTCCGCGTCAAACTTGGCTTGGGCTCACTGGCGCATACGTCATCGGTTACTTCGTCCAGGCGACCGCTTGCCTGTAGCTGCTGGCACACCACGCGGCGTGACTGCGACCCGCCACCACATGACCTGCTGCATTCGTCATACGGTGACATAAGCCAGCGACCGTCGCAGTCAATCTGGTTGCAGTGCCGCACCGTAGCTGGTTTAGGTACCGGACAGTCCTGCTCCGACACAATCATGGTACTGCCGTTGCTGATCAGCTGCTCGCAGAGTATGACTCTCTCCTGGGTGCCGTTACCACACAAAAGTGAGCAGTCCCCGTACGGCAGAGCTCGCCACTCCGCCAAGCAGTCCACGCGGTTGCAGTCGCGGACGTCGGCCGGACGGCTGGCCTCGTCGCACTCATCGTCGTCAACGGTGACGAGATCGCCTCGCTCCTGCACCTGGTCACAGACAACGCTGCGGGTCTGCCGGCCTCCACCGCACGTGCGAGAGCATTCGTTGAAGGGTTGTGGCTGCCAGTAGGCCGGACACTTGACCACCTGGCATTCCTCCACGGCGATAGGCATCCGTGAGAGGATACACAGCTCGGGAACAACGTCTTCGAGAGCACCATTGCCCTTCCGCTGTTCGCACGCAACCAGACGTTCACGAAGTCCACCACCGCAGGTTCTGCTGCAGGGTTGCCAGTCTTCGAAACGCCACAGAGCGGGGCAGTTAACAGTATTACACTGGCGTCTATCCACCGGACGCGGAACATTCAGCAGAAGACTATCACAGACGCTGTTGGGCACGATGACTGTCGAGCCGTTGGCGATGAGACGCTTGCACTGGACGACACGCGTCTGGATTCCACCTCCGCACGTTACGGGACACGTGGCATACAGCAGCGTCTCCCACTCCGGCAGACAGTCCACAACGTTGCACTCCATCTGTCGGGCCGGAACCGGACCAGGACAGTCCCCGTCCATTACGTCCTCCAGGTTTCCTGTAGCTTTGACCTGCTGACATTGTACGTTGCGCTGTTTCGTGCCGCCACCACACTCTTCACTGCATTCACTGTACTCGGCGACATTCCAGTACGGCGGACAATTGATGACGTTGCAGTCGCGTCGAACGTCTGGCATGAGCGCTGACAGGTTGTTGCGGCAGACGCTCAGCGTTGCGTTGACGAGCTGTCCGCCCGCAAGCCGTTGCTCGCATCCGACCCAGCGATCCTGCGTCCCACCACCGCACTCGTCCGTGCACTGTTCGTACTCACCCGTTACCCAGTATGGGGTACAGTCGATGACGTTGCACTGCTCCTCCGCCACTGGCCGAACACCGGTGCCCAAGTCGCAGACATCGTCCTCGACGAATCGCAGCTGGCTGTCGGCTTGGAGTTGCCGGCACAGGACGGTTCTTTGTCGATGTCCAACACCGCATGACGCATTGCACAGCGTGAACTCAGGTTCCTCCCAGTAAGCCGGACAGTTGATCTGGTTACACGTCTGTCGTGTAGCAGGATGAGGGCCGGCATCGACACAATCAGGGTCTTCCACAATCTCTACTTGGCTCGTCGACTTCAGCTGCTGGCACACGACTGTGCGGAATTGCTCTCCGCCGCCACAGGTGACGGAACAGTCCTGGTACGCGGACTCATTCCAGTACGATGGGCAGTCGATCACCTGGCACGCTCTCTCAGTCGGCGGCTTCAACGCCGGGTCACATTCTCCTTCCGGGATGACGACAGTGTCACCGCTGCCTAGAAGCTGCTGGCAGAGTACGCGTCGCACCTGTATACCACCACCGCACGTTACACTGCACTCTCGGTAGAGCTTTTTCGACCAGTACGAGTCGCAGTTGCTCGCACCGCATCCTCGCTCCAGAGCCGGCCTGGGTTGCGGACATTGCTCGTCACCAACCGTCTGCAGACTGCCTTCAGCGGTCAACTGCTCGCAATAGACGCGTCGAGTCTGAGTGCCACCACCACACGTTGCACTGCATGGTCGATAAGGCAGCTCGCGCCACTCGGGTGAGCAATCGATGCGTCCGCACTCTCGCCGCATATCGGGCTTGGCCGGAAGACACACGAAATCCTGTACGCGGACTTCGAGTCCCGACGCTTGCAGCTGCAGACAGAATACCTCACGGTCCTGAGCGCCACCTCCGCATGTCACGTTGCAGGCTTCGTACTCTTCTTCGATCCAGGCGCCAAAGCAGTCAACTTCGTTGCAGCGCTGCACGGTGGGCACCTTGGCACCCGCGACGGAACAATCTTGGTCAGGAACCATCACATTCTCCCCGCTAGCTTTCGTCTGCTGGCAATAGACGGGACGCTCCTGTGTGCCATTGCCGCAGAACAGTGTGCATTCGTCAAACTCCTCGATTATCCATATTGGTGGGCAGTCATTGACATTGCATCTCTGAGCAGCAGCTGGCCGTACTGTGGGGTCGCACACGGAATCATCAACCTCACGCAGTACATTATCCTGTTGGAGTTGCTCGCAGAACACACGCCGAGATTGCGTGCCGTTACCGCATGTCTTGCTGCACGTATTGTAGTCCTCTACGTCCCAATGACCCGGACAATCAAAGGCATTGCACGCTTGTATGTTAATCGGCTCCGTACTCGCAGGACACTGCTGAGGATCAACATAAACCATAGTGCCGTTCGTGAGCGTCTGCTCGCAAAGAACCCGTCGTCTTTGCACTCCACGGCCACACGTCAACGTGCATTCTCCCCACTGTTCGTCGATCCAGATTGGCGTACAGTCGAGGGCATTGCAGTCCTGCACCTCAGCGGGAGCGGCCCCTAAGTCAGCCACGCATTCACTGATCGCGACGTCCATCAGCTCGCCAGACCCCTGTACCTGTTCACAGTCCACCGAACGGAATTGCCTCCCGGTGGAGCAGGTTTGAGTGCACGCACCGTAGTTGCCTACACGATACTTGCCGGGACACTTTACCTCGCTGCAGAAGCGACTTGCCGGTGTAACGCTTGACTCAGGACATTGTTGCAGTGCCAGTGGCTGAAGGTTACCATCGGCTAGGAGGCGCTGGCATTGCAGCGTGCGCTGCTGAGTACCGTTGCCGCACGTCTTACTACATGCGTCGAAGTTGCCCACAATGAACTCTGGGGGACAATTTACGGCGCTGCAGTACTCGATATTGTCCGGCTCACTCTCCTGTGGACAGTCGGAATTGGGCTCGGTGATAAGCCGCTTGTCGGAGAGCGTTCGCTTGCATGTCACCTCCCGGGTTCTCGTGCCGCGCCCACAGGTCTGAGAGCAGGCGTTCCACGGGCCCTTGTCCCAGATGGCAGGGCAGTCAATGACGTTACAAGAGTCGATCCTGGCCTGAGCCGGTCCAGCAAAGGTAAGGCATAAACCATGCGGCACGTCGATCAGCTTGCCAGACTCTTGGATCTGCTCGCAGTCCACAGTGCGTGATTTAGTACCGCCACTGCATGTCAAACTGCACTCTCCGTACTGCCCTACGTGATACACAGCAGGGCACTTGATCTCCGAGCAGCGCCGTGTTAGCGCTGGCCTAGGTTGAGGACACAGGGAGTCGTCGACGAGTCTGATCTCCCCGTCACCTTGCAGCTGTTCGCAGACGATGCTTCGCGACTGTGACCCGTTACCGCAGGGCAACGAGCACTCGTCGTACTGGCCAATCCGCCAGCGTGCTGCACAGTCAATGCTGTTACAGTTCTCCCGTTCGCTAGGCCTGGACGGTGCGGGGCAGTTCTCGGCGTCTACGAGGACAGTGTCACCTGACGCCTGATTCTGCTCGCAGAAAACACCGCGATCGCGGCTGCCTCTCCCGCAGGTCTGTGAGCAATCAGACCAGGTTGACGTTATCCAGGTTTCGGGACAGTCCTCCACTTGGCATCGCCGGTTAACAGCAGGCTGGCTTTGAGGATTGCACAGGGTGCTGGCCACCTTGACAAGACGACCCTCGGCGTTCACTCGCTCGCAGAACACTTCTCTGCTCTGAGTTCCGTTGCCACACGAACGCGAGCAAGCCTGGTATTGACCAGCATCCCAGTGTGTTGGACAGTCTATTGCATTGCAAGGCTGTTGGTTGATGGGTCGCAATGCTGACTCGCACACGGAATCATCAACAATCATCAGCTCCCCGGTGGCTTGGACCTGCTCACAGCGTATGTTGCGTACCTGGATGCCACCTCCGCAGGTAACAGAGCACGTTGACGAACTTCCATCCGGTGGCGGCAATTCAGTTGTCTCTGGCAGTAGTGTCGGAGGTTGTGGTAGGGGTCGTGACCATCCGTCTGTCTCCCACACGGCTGGACAAGGCACTTCACCGCAGTTCAGTGTCGGCATGGGGACGCTTGTCTGTGGACATTCTGCGTGGGCCACTTCCTCGATTTCGCTGCTGGCTCGAAGCACTTCGCAGAAGACTTGCCGCGTGCGCTGGTCACCTCCGCAAGTGACCGGGCAGTCGCTGAATTCCGTCACGCGCCACTTAGCCGGGCAGTCCACCAGAGCGCAGCCCTTCTCCTCTAGCGGCCGCTCGGTTAACAGGCATTTGCCGTCGAGAACTGTCTCCCAGCGACCGGTTGACTGCAGTTGTCTACAGATCACGTCACGGCGATGAGTACTGCCTCCACAGCTGATAGCACAATCCTCATATTCCGATGTCTCCCAAATAGGGTCACAGTCGGTCTCGGCACAGTATCTCTGAGTGACCGGTCTTGCACCGTCGGCTTTATCAACACACTCACTCATGTCTACACGTGTCTCCCCGTCCTCCCCAAGCAGATGCTGGAGACACACGACCTCTCGATGGTCCTCGCCTCGTCCACACTCTCGGCTGCAGCCCTGCCAGGGAAGCTCCTGCCAGTAGGGTTGGCAGTGGAACGCGCTGCATTCCCGGATCTCGGCGGGCCTCGCGCCCGGACAGCGTGTCTCATCCACCACTTCGTCATTACCAGTGGAGAGCATTGCCCGGCACTGCACCGTCCGGCGTTGTGTACCACCGGCACATGTTACACTGCAGCTGCCAAAATCACTGCTTTGCCAGTACGCAGGGCAGTCGATGACGTTACAGGAGTCGATCCTGGCCGGAGCCGGTCCAGCAAAGGTAAGGCATAAACCACGCGGCACGTCGATCAGCTTGCCAGACTCTTGGATCTGCTCGCAGTGCACGGTGCGTGATTTAGTACCGCCACTGCATGTCAAACTGCACTCTCCGTACTCCCCTACGCGATACACGGCAGAGCACTTGATCTCCGAGCAGCGTTGTGTTAGCGCAGGCCTTGGTTGAGGACACAGGGAGTCGCCGACAAGTCTGATCTCCCCGTCACCTTGCAGCTGTTCGCAGACGATGCTTCGCGACTGTGACCCGTTACCGCAGGGCAACGAGCACTCGTCGTACTGGCCAATCCGCCAGCGTGCTGCACAGTCAATGCTGTTACAGTTCTCCCGTTCACTAGGCCTGGACGGTGCGGGGCAGTTCTCGGTGTCTACGAGGACAGTGTCACCCGACGCCTGATTCTGCTCGCAGAAAACACCGCGATCGCGGCTGCCTCTCCCGCAGGTCTGTGAGCAATCAGACCAGGTTGACGTTATCCAGGTTTCGGGACAGTCCTCCACTTGGCATCGCCGGTTAACAGCAGGCTGGCTTTGCGGATTGCACAGGGTGCTGGCCACCTTGACAAGACGACCCTCAGCGTTCACCCGTTCGCAGAACACTTCTCTGCTCTGAGTTCCGTTGCCACACGAACGCGAGCAAGCACGGTACTGACCAGCATCCCAGTGTGTTGGACAGTCTATTGCATTACAAGGCTGTTGGCTGAGGGGTCGCAATGCTGACTCGCACACGGAATCATCAACAATCGCCAGCTCCCCGGTGGCTTGGACCTGCTCACAGCGTATGTTGCGTACCTGGATGCCACCTCCGCAGGTTACAGAGCACGTTGACGAACTTCCATCCGGTGGCGGCAATTCAGGTGTCTCTGGCAGTAGTGTCGGAGGTTGTGGTAGGGGTCGTGACCATCCGTCTGTCTCCCACACGGCTGGACAAGGCACTGCACCGCAGTTCAGTGTCGGCAAGGGGACGCTTGTCTGTGGACATTCTGTGTGGGCCACTTCCTCGATTTCGCTGCTGGCTCGAAGCACTTCGCAGAAGACTTGCCGCGTGCGCTGGTCACCTCCGCAAGTGACCGGGCAGTCGCTGAATTCCGTCACGCGCCACTTAGCCGGGCAGTCCACCAGAGCGCAGCCCTTCTCCTCCAGTGGCCGCTCGGATAACAGGCAATTGCCGTCAAGAACTGTCTCCCAGCGACCGGTTGACTGCAGTTGTCTACAGATCACGTCACGGCGATGAGTACTGCCTCCACAGCTAATAGCGCAATCTTCGTATTCCGATGTCTCCCAGATAGGGTCACAGTCGGTCTCGGCACAGTACCTCTGAGTGACCGGTCTTGCACCGTCGGCTTTATCAACACACTCACTCATGTCTACACGTGTCTCCCCGTCCTCCCCAAGCAGATGTTGGAGACACACGACCTCTCGCTGCTCCTCGCCTCGCCCACACTCTCGGCTGCAGCCCTGCCAGGGAAGCTCCTGCCAGTAGGGTTGGCAGTGGAATACGCGGCATTCCCGGATCTCGGCGGGCCTCTCGCCCGGACAGCGTGTCTCATCCACCACTTCGTCATTACCAGTGGAGAGCATTGCCCGGCACTGCACCGTCCGGCGTTGTGTACCACCGGCACAGGTTACACTGCAGCTGCCAAATTCACCGCTTTGCCAGTACGCAGGGCAGTCCAGGCGCTGGCACTCACGACGCCGGGCGGGCATGCGCTGAGCCAGGCACAGCGAGTCGTCCACCAGGCCAAAGCCGCCCGTGGTGCGCCGTCGACACTCCACGCGACGCGACTGCCTGCCGACTCCGCCGCAAGTGTGACTGCATGCCTCCCAGTCACTCTGCACTACCCACTCTGCGGCACAGTCCTGCTCGTTGCATGCCTGCGTGGCAGGTGGCCGCAATTGCGCCGGGCACTGTGACGGCTCTTCCACAAGTTTTGAAGAATTTGCAAAAATACGCTCGCAGGTAACAGTACGTATCTGACGTCCACCGGCACACGTGGCACTGCAAGTTCCCCAGGCAAACGTGGCCCACACGGCTGGACAATTGTGGGCATTGCACCGACGTCGGCCTTTAGGCTGGGGCAGAGGGCGACATTCACTCTCCGTCACTGTCTCGTCCTGACCGCCAGCCTTGATCTGTTTGCAGAGAACCACTCGGGTCTGCGTTCCGTTGCCGCAGCTGCGGCTGCAAGAACCGAACGCGTTGCTCTCCCATCGTCCAGGGCAGTCCTCCGCGCTGCACACCTCCTGGGAGGACGGTCTGGCTGCTCTGACACACTGACTATCGTCCACATCGCGATGCAAACCGCTGGACATCAACTGATGACATTTCACGTTGCGCTGTCGACTCCCGGAGCCGCATGCCTTGGTGCAAGCGGTCCACTCTGATGTGGTCCACTCCGAAACACAGTCCACGGCGGGTTGGCAAGGGCGCGAACCGGGCGGCTTTGGGCCGGCCGATCTGATCCGCAGACAATCTTCGTCATCAATACTGGCATTGTATGGCTTTGCGTCAATGTCCGGGTCGATGATATATAACCAGCACTGGACAGATCGTGTTTGCTGTCCTCCACCGCAGGTTTGGGAGCATTCCCTCCAGGGTTCATCACCCCAGAATGGATCGCACAGCCGGTCACCACATCGTCTTTCCTATTGCCAGAAACGATAGCGGCAGAGATAGCAAGAGCACACATATGCGTGCACACATACGCACAGACACAGACACCCACATACACACGTACATACACATACACACGTGCACATACACACACACACACACACACACACACACACACACAAACACACACAAACACACAAACATCCAATACTTGACATGATCCGCCGTATATGTCTCTATTACAAGCACAGGTCTCCATTACTAGCACAGTCTCTAATACTAGCACAGGTCTCCATTACTAGCACAGGTCTCCATTACTAGCACAGTCTCTAATACTAGCACACTGTGAGCACCTTTCAAAACATTGTAAGCACAGTCTCTATTATTAGCACGGTCTTGGTGGAAATCAATGCTACATGCATGATCATGATGATATCTAGCATGTATTTCTTCTTGCTCTGTATGGATTGTATTGGTTGAAAAAATATGAGCGCAGTCTCCAATATAAGCGGGGCCTCCAATATAAGCACGGGGTAGAGGGGTGTTGAAAAAATATAAGCCACGGCGCTTATAATAGAGAATATACGGTATGTGACTCCAAACCGGGGAACCGGGGAACAAGTGATTGGGTGTTCTCTGAATGAGTTCAAGTACCCGTCAGCCACGTCGCTGACCCGGCTGATCCGTCTCTGGAGCAGACCCAATACTTCTGATCGATACAAATACTTGCATAGTCTAGTTGCAGCACTACGCAAACATAGCAGAGATATTCTACATACTGTGAGTCGACAAGTTTTCGGCCCATTCAAATTTCGGGCTAAAACCCATTTCGGCCCATTCAAATTTCGGCCTAAAACCCACTTCGGCCACATCAAATTCTCGGCCTGTAGGACTCGTACTGCTGCCGCCTGTATACACTGTCACACTGAACCTTGCAAAACAAAGTATCGGCCGCAACGATTTTTTGGCCAAACATGACCAGGCCGAAAAAAGCAGAAAATACATATGCGCCGAATACTAGTTGACTTACAGTAGTTGAAGGTGTTGTTGTACGTTATTCCATGTACGTTGTGCGTACGTTATTCCGTGTACGTTGTGTGTACGTTATTCCGTGTACGTTGTGTGTACGTTATTCCGTGTACGTTGTGTGTACGTTATTCCGTGTACGTTGTGTGTACGTTATTCCGCGTACGTTGTGTGTACGTGGTGGTGGTGCATGCGCTTGTTGCTGTTGTGTGGAAAGCAGTCTTCGTCTTGATATCGTCCTTTCTAGTTGTGTTTCCGTAATCGCCTAGTAATAAACAGTCTTCTAATTGTAGTTATTGTCGTGCATTGTATTGCGTGGAGATGGCACGGGGATGGGAGCAGGTGAAGAAAGTAGAGTTACAACAAAGGTAGCCTTCTGCAGGGGCGTAGTAGCTGGTCCGGCCGGTCCGGCTTCAACCGGACCACCGTTTTTTAACACGATGCCAAAAGGGCCCAAAATGCAGGATTTTGCACCCCAATTTCAAAATATTCCCGAGGGACACCCGACTTCCCCCCCCCCCCAACCCCCCCCCCCCAACCCCACCTAACCACCTCCAACGGTGGTGCTACACGCTTGGAAAGGCCACCAATGACGATATTGGCAGGAGGTACTCCAGACCTGGGTGCTATGGCCCTGGAAGAGTCCTAGTTCTCTACTCACAACGTCATCTATTTGTTCATTCCTGTCAGGTTCAGCCTCATTTTCTCAGTGCTGAGCTGAAGAGTCCACAAAAGGACGAGACAGCATGCTGTATACAGATTGAGTTCTCATAAGGTCAATGAACTTACATTATCTGGTGGCGCTCCCCTGACGCCCACCCAGCAGTTGAAAATATCCACTTCACCCTGGACAACTTCGCTGATCTTCTCGCCGGTGAGGCGATTGTAAGTTGTCGCTTTGCGGATGCATGCAATCTGTGCAGAACAGGTGGCATAACGGCCATAACCACGGTCACAAACATGCCAGACGTAAAATGCCCATCTGATATCACACATACCCAGGCACATGCGCCGGTGCCCTTCAAGGGGGGGGGGGGGGTTCCGGGCACCCAGGAACCCATACGGGGCACTCGCCTGATACCTGCTAACCTGAGGTCGGGGCATTGACATACCTGCTAACCTGAGGTCGGGGCATTGACATACCTGCTAACCTGAGGTCGGGGCATTGACATACCTGCTAACCTGAGGTCGGGGCATTGACATACCTGCTAACCTGAGGTCGGGGCATTGACATACCTGCTAACCTGAGGTCGGGGCATTGACATACCTGCTAACCTGAGGTCGGGGCATTGACATACCTGCTAACCTGAGGTCGGGGCATTGACATACCTGCTAACCTGAGGTCAATGCATTGACATACCTGCTAACCTGAGGTCGGGGCATTGACATACCTGCTAACCTGAGGTCGGGGCATTGACATACCTGCTAACCTGAGGTCGGGGCATTGACATACCTGCTAACCTGAGGTCGGGGCATTGACATACCTGCTAACCTGAGGTCGGGGCATTGACATACCTGCTAACCTGAGGTCGGGGCATTGACATACCTGCTAACCTGAGGTCGGGGCATTGACATACCTGCTAACCTGAGGTCGGGGCATTGACATACCTGCTAACCTGAGGTCGGGGCATTGACATACCTGCTAACCTGAGGTCGGGGCATTGACATACCTGCTAACCTGAGGTCGGGGCATTGACATACCTGCTAACCTGAGGTAGGGGCATTGACATACCTGCTAACCTGAGGTCGGGGCATTGACATACCTGCTAACCTGAGGTCGGGGCATTGACATACCTGCTAACCTGAGGTCGGGGCATTGACATACCTGCTAACCTGAGGTCGGGGCATTGACATACCTGCTAACCTGAGGTCGGGGCATTGACATACCTGCTAACCTGAGGTCGGGGCATTGACATACCTGCTAACCTGAGGTCGGGGCATTGACATACCTGCTAACCTGAGGTCGGTGCATTGACATACCTGCTAACCTGAGGTCGGGGCATTGACATACCTGCTAACCTGAGGTCGGGGCATTGACATACCTGCTAACCTGAGGTCGGGGCATTGACATACCTGCTAACCTGAGGTCGGGGCATTGACATACCTGCTAACCTGAGGTCGGGGCATTGACATACCTGCTAACCTGAGGTCGGGGCATTGACATACCTGCTAACCTGAGGTCGGGGCATTGACATACCTGCTAACCTGAGGTCGGGGCATTGACATACCTGCTAACCTGAGGTCGGGGCATTGACATACCTGCTAACCTGAGGTCGGGGCATTGACATACCTGCTAACCTGAGGTCGGGGCATTGACATACCTGCTAACCTGAGGTCGGGGCATTGACATACCTGCTAACCTGAGGTCGGGGCATTGACATACCTGCTAACCTGAGGTCGGGGCATTGACATACCTGCTAACCTGAGGTCGGGGCATTGACATACCTGCTAACCTGAGGTCGGGGCATTGACATACCTGCTAACCTGAGGTCGGGGCATTGACATACCTGCTAACCTGAGGTCGGGGCATTGACATACCTGCTGCTAACCTGAGGTCGGGGCATTGACATACCTGCTAACCTGAGGTCGGGGCATTGACATACCTGCTAACCTGAGGTCGGGGCATTGACATACCTGCTAACCTGAGGTCGGGGCATTGACATACCTGCTAACCTGAGGTCGGGGCATTGACATACCTGCTAACCTGAGGTTGGGGCATTGACATACCTGCTAACCTGAGGTCGGGGCATTGACATACCTGCTAACCTGAGGTCGGGGCATTGACATACCTGCTAACCTGAGGTCGGTGCATTGACATACCTGCTAACCTGAGGTCGGGGCATTGACATACCTGCTAACCTGAGGTCGGGGCATTGACATACCTGCTAACCTGAGGTCGGGGCATTGACATACCTGCTAACCTGAGGTCGGGGCATTGACATACCTGCTAACCTGAGGTCGGGGCATTGACATACCTGATAACCTGAGGTCGGGGCATTGACATACCTGCTAACCTGAGGTCGGGGCATTGACATACCTGCTAACCTGAGGTCGGGGCATTGACATACCTGCTAACCTGAGGTCGGGGCATTGACATACCTGCTAACCTGAGGTCGGGGCATTGACATACCTGCTAACCTGAGGTCGGGGCATTGACATACCTGCTAACCTGAGGTCGGGGCATTGACATACCTGCTAACCTGAGGTCGGGGCATTGACATACCTGCTAACCTGAGGTCGGGGCATTGACATACCTGCTAACCTGAGGTAGGGGCATTGACATACCTGCTAACCTGAGGTCGGGGCATTGACATACCTGCTAACCTTAGGTCGGGGCAATGACATACCTGCTAACCTGAGGTAGGGGCATTGACATACCTGCTAACCTGAGGTCGGGGCATTGACATACCTGCTAACCTGAGGTAGGGGCATTGACATACCTGCTAACCTGAGGTAGGGGCATTGACATACCTGGGTTTGAAAATCTATACAAATGTCAATGAGAGGAATGCAGTGACTACTGCACTTCTGGGTGTCTATTAATACTCTGCGCTCTGCCCACCACCGGCATTGAGCACGCTAGCAGGTTAACTAACCCTCTGCTCTGCGCTCTGCCCACCACCGGCATTGAGCACGCTAGCAGGTTAACTAACCCTCTGCTCTGCGCTCTGCTCACCACCGGCATTGAGCACGCTAGCAGGTTAACTAACCCTCTGCTCTGCGCTCTGCCCACCACCGGCATTGAGCACGCTAGCAGGTTAACTAACCCTCTGCTCTGCGCTCTGCTCACCACCGGCATTGAGCACGCTAGCAGGTTAACTAACCCTCTGCTCTGCGCTCTGCCCACCACCGGCATTGAGCACGCTAGCAGGTTAACTAACCCTCTGCTCTGCGCTCTGCTCCCCACCGGCATTGAGCACGCTAGCAGGTTAACTTACCCTTTGCGACCCCACTGAAAGTATGACAATTTATTCACCTTCAAAGAATATGCACTTTCGCTTATATCTCTACCCAACATTCACCAATTTTTACAAACTAGCCACCGCTGGAAAGGTGTTTCCAAAACGAAGCGAAAATCCCACACTCAAGCCAGCTACCTGCACTGCCTCTGCGTGGCCTAGAACGCCGCTCAAAACAGCAGCCGTGCGCGAACGGCTCCAGCAAGGTTCAAACAGCCGCCATTCCATTCTCCTTCTTCACATCGATTTCAAACAAACTACAGCGGAAAGCTCGTTTCAAGCGCAACACGTTGTTGTGCAGCATGCTTGAGTATAATGTAGCATTCCAGAGAAATCCGCGCCAAGCGCAGCGGGATATTTTGAAATTTTCGATCGGAGTGAATTTTTCAGTTTTCCTCCGACTTCGAGTGTCACCACGGCAGCATTGGACCCTCCTAAAGACTTCGGATAACTTCGACGTGATAGCCAAGGCTCCTCTCGAAACATAGATCCTTTTGTTCATGACAATCAGGGAAAGAACACCAGAGATGTAATTTTGCCAGTGCCACTGCATACCAATCGATCGATATCATGGGGTCACAAAGGGTTAAGGAACCTGGCACCTGTGTGTGTTCTTTGTGCATGAGTTGGCCCCTCACCTCTCGTTCTTCTTTCGCTCTAGGCCCGCAGGTTGCTTGGCATTTGCCCCACTCTCCAACCTTGTACTCATAGCTTGGTTGAACGCTACACACAAACACAGAATCACGCAGGAACACAGCACAAATACACTGAGCAAACGTGAGCTAATGTGTATATCTTTAGTGAACCTGAGAGCCCTGCTTCAGCTAGATATGTTGCCTGATGATTGATAACTCAAGAAACTCGGAGTAGCAACAGATTTATGTATTCTTGGTGAGGACTGCTTCCATTGTGCACTAGCTCCAGTGCACCCCAGCACCGTTGAACCCTCTTTGCTGTGGACGGGACCACGTCCCCCTGTGTGAGCAAACTCTCTAAAGGAAGCCGGAATTTGGTTGAACTCTACTGCCAGATTATGCTTGAACTCATGGCGGAATTTGGCTGAACTCCAGGCGGAATTCACTTAAACTCGTGGCGGAATTCGGCTGGGCTACTGCATGCTGAAGTCTATCGGGACACATGTCACGGATTTGACTCGACTGGGACAGGACTCTAGTCGCACCAAAGTCAACAAATAAAGTCAAAACACGTATTATGTTGATATCAGGAAATATTTCTCTGTGACCCTGGTCAAGTGCATCACCTCGACACTGGTGGTAATGTTGATCAGATGGCGCACTTCTTTCACATATCTCACTCTTCCTGGTATCAGAAGTCATTGGCTAAGTTGGCTTTGAATGTAATGAAAGTGTTACGATTTATTAATGTTCAGTTTGGTTGCGCCTCGATTCTAGAGGGTGGTGGAATTGCTGTGGATGCTTGCATAGACTCCGGCCCTTCCGGTAGGACCTACCGGTAGGACCCACATACACAGACATGCTGCAGGGCCTCTGTTCTAATAATCACCTAAAACCTGACCCTGAACTATTGTTAAGGGACTAACGAAGGACTCCACAAATTTTAGACGTGATCGGACAGGGCATATTACGAAATTCCATGGCAACAGTCCATGGTAGCCATGGACACGGAGTATGGAATTTTGCATTCCACTGCCATGGAAGGCTAAGAAAGACATTACGTCCTCACAACGATCGGTGTGCCATGTTCAAAATTCACTTCGGGCGGAGTTGCTAGCGCTCCGACAGGAACATGTGCGGCCATTTTGGCAATGGATAAAATTGCACATATGCAAAGCACTGGGCATAGTCTTGCATTTTGCACCATTAGTTTGCCCTACAAAGACCTCATGTCCACAATTGTGCAAACAAATTCTCAACGAAAAGCACCTTTGCAGCGCGATTTATTGGGTCCTACCGGAAAGACTCGCGATCCTAGGTAGGACGGCATGCAAGCTATCACTAAAAACCCAGGCTGGCTGAGTGGTCTGCGAGCACTCTACTTGATTATGCAATAGTTATGCAATAGGTCTGCAATAGTTATGCAATAGTTATGCAATAGTTATGCAATAGTTATGCAATAGTTATGCAATAGTTATGCAATAGTTATGCAATAGTTATGCAATAGTTATACAATACTACAGCACAACGTACTTACACAGGCTGTGTGTGACACAAGAGGCAGTTGTCGTGCAAACGTGCCAACGATTGCCAGGAAGGAAATGCACATGTACACACACACACAAACACACACAACAATACACACGCACGCACGCACGCACACACGCAGGCACGCAGACACACATACGCACAAATACATACACACACATTAACCCATATTGGAAAAAGGGTTACTTGACAGCATAATACACACATGAAACCCTCTGGAAACGCACAGCTACATAAATACACTCATCTGAAGTGCTCTTGCCCTTTGCTCAAGAATAAACTCTGAACCTAAACGTATTGCATAGCCAATGAGTTATATAAGCCACACCACAATTTCTCAACACTTCACTCCACATAGGTCCAGTGGCTTATACCCCAAACTTACATTCAGTTCTGGAAAAATTTCAAATTGAAACGAAACAACTTGCCTCCGGGAGAGGACCGGAAAGAGCGGTGGGGCAGGATAGGACATTGGATGTATGGTATGGTGTGGTATTTTTTATTTTAATTCACCAATCGAACATGCATATCTGCCTTCTTGCTTGGATGTAAACCGCACATCGTTGTGGGTGATACCCGGGGAAAACCCCGCATACAGTGTACCAATGATGTGTCACGACTTACAATAAACAGGTTTCCTTCCTGCGCTACGGCTGGACGAATGCAGTATGTCAGCGTGACAATGCAGCATGCCAGAACTGCAGCGCTGGCCAGGTCCGCCCCGCCATGCCACCGCGGCTGAAGCATCGTTCTCCTGCTGAGTGTGTGCGTGTGTGTGTGTGTGTGTGTGACCGCGAGTGGCTGAAACGGCTCAGTCCAGATCGCTGCCCAGGTTTGGGTTAAACTATGTGCAAGGGCACCGGGAGATGTCTGTACAGCACCTCCAATACCTGCGAATATCAGAAAATAGAAGATGGAATACTGTAAGGCAACGATCAACCATCGCACGACCTACAAACCCATGCCATATTTTTTCGGGTGGTCTTAGAAGTATTTTGAGGCTCACAACCTCCACACAGATTGTGCCTTTACGCATGGGCTACCTACAGACTTAGCTTAGGGACGTCTTAACAAGTCTTAAAGCTGTAGTAGACTGACTCCCTTCCAACGTACCCTGGTCCCTCGCCCCCCCCCCCTCCCCCCCCCCCCTCCCCCTGCTACATATGACATGAATTTATGCAACATAGTGTAAAGCCAGCTTGCAAGCATGACAAACACAGCCTGGGTGTACTATTGGGGTAATTGGCGGGAAGTATGTGCACTTGAACATGTCCTGCTGAAATGCAACTGCAAGAGAAGGACCTACTAGACCTTGTTTCTGGACAATCGCCAAACATTGCAGCAAAACAAAGGGAGATTTGGAATACATGACGTATTGAGAGTCATACCTGTAACAACACTATGGATGGAGAGCTTAACCTTGAGAATCTAGTTTCTGGTTACCATCCCTGATCTCTGCCCGTGGGAGTTATCAGTCACTTATGCCTCTGCAGCTGCAGAGTAGAGTCAGTGGCGGCCCAGCCGCCTGTGGTGTGTGAATAACTGCAAAAGATCAGCACCACGGAGAAAGCAAACACACAGAAAGCAGGTCAAGCATGGAACTAAGCCTTTATAGTTGCGCAGGAACACACGCAAACACACACGCATACATACATACACACACCACAAAAACACACACACACAAACACACACACACACACACACACATACACACACATACACATACACACATGACACATACACACAGAAGTTGTGGACAATAAGGCCATCAGTACATACAATGTACATGGCCATATTTCTAGGATCATTCACCGAATGATTATGTCCACTAGTAGCAGGGCAAATGAAGTACATAATGCTATGCACACTTAAGTTTCACTCAAGCACATATCAGCAATGTGGAGTAGCAGTGTGACACAGCCTGTGACCATTGTGTCTATTCATGCAGCACAGCTCCTTGCTTCAATGACAATGCCGTTCCTAGTGACAGGTGGCACTCTCTCCAACACTCACACAGATACCACGCACTGAACAGGGTGCTGGCTGCTTGAGAGGCACTTGAAAAATCCAACACTTGCCTCTCTCAAGAACTAGAACAATTCCTCGTCTAAAGGGTAGATTCGAATTCAATGATGGCTGAAGAACAGTGGGTGATTGATTGACTTAAAAATGGGTCACTTTGATCTTGCCCGGCCCGTAGTTGGAAGGCTACCGATTCATACACTGTACCCATAGTGGCCAGAGCAGCCACACAAGAGAACACACAGCTACAGTACCACCAAACACTGGTCTATAACTAAGGCAGTGAACACATCTTCCCAAATCCAGACTCTCCCTGGAGATATGAATGCCATCTGGGTGCTTCAACTCATCACTCTCACCCCCACCATCACCTCATCAGCAATGGCCGTGTCCCCTCCTTCAGCAGCCTTGACAGCATTATTTCTCACAAAGTACCAGGCACTTATGCATCACAGTTAACATCCATGACCCTGGGGGCGTCATACTTCATCCAAGCAAGCCCCACCCCCCCCCCCCCTCAGGAAATGCTGGAGGAGTTTGATGGCCAGCCAGCCCAGAAAAGGTACATTCATGATTGGCCTGGTTGTGTTCAGCTTCACACAACAGCATCTCTCAAAGCATATGCATATACATGTACATGTAGCTGCAGAATAATTTAGTATGGCCTTTGGTATGTTAGTGACTGCTTTAAACCAGGCTTTGGAAAAAATATTTTTCACTGCTACCATGTCCCGCCTCGTTTTCTCTGTGCTGCGCTGAGGAGTCAACAAAAGATGAAACAGCATGCTATCCAAAGATTTTATAATTCAGCCTTTGAATCACAATTATTATTATGCTGTGGTCCTATCTTTGGGAAATCAATGCAATTTTGTTAATTAATGGCACTTCACCTGTGCTGAGAGAGAGGACTCCTGGTAGAAACAATCCACCCAGTGAGGAGGTGATCACACACAGTCACCACCAACCAAGCCAGTAGTGCAGTAGTGCAGTAGTGCAGTAGTGCCCACTGAAGTAATAATGTGATCACAAGCAAGTACCCAGTAAGATTGTCTGCTTCCTGTCCAAGCATCAGCTCAATGCTCCCATGTGGAGAAACCATTTGATATACTAAATGGTGGAACAAATGCCCTGGAGTAATCCTTGTTCAAAAATATCCAGCTGTGCCCTGGGGGCCAGGCATAGTATTTCTGGTATCCCTGTTATCGACAGCACATTCAGGAACGTTCTCTCTCTCTCCCTCTCCTCCCCTCTCTCTCTCTCTCATTCTTGACTATCTTCAAACTACTAGCTGTACTTGGAAGTAGTAGTGCCATCAAAAAGTCTGCATGTGCCAAGAGTATAATGGCGTGATTTGTTAAGATCACTCCCAGCTGTCATTACAAAAGTGAAAGATGACCATCAATGCAAAACCAGCGTGAGCTCAACAGTCAGACAAGTGGGCACTCAGTCACGATAAGCAAGCGCCATTATGTTGCCGTACACCATGATTTTCCTAAGGAGCTTGAGTGATGGCACCCGGACTGCTCCACGATATTCTATTTTTGAATTCTTCCACCCTACAGTATCTATACCCCTATGTAGTTTCGGGTATATGTTACGATGGTCTCTCCTAGCGTAGGTACTGATCTGAGTGGAGCAAGCTTCCAGCATGCTTGCTGTCATAGATACATGTACATGCAGATATCCAGGAGGATGCAGAATGCCTGGCATCCCCAGGCGACGGCTCACCCAACGGCAATGGCGGCAGCATTCATCGCCTGTGCTCCCTGATCCAGGGCAACAAGCAGCCCGCCAGCGCTTCCTGGCTGTGCAATTGCCTAGCATTACAAATTGGTCTCACTTCCAACACGCCACAATATACAATGAAACAGTTCAATACAACGTATGAAGAACCCTGGATCTAACAATTACACATGCATCACGACAGATCGCAGAACAGTGGTGTTAGGCTAGCTTGTCGCAACCGTGACATCTATGAGATAAAAGGGACTAATTGCAGAAAACCTTACGTTACGCTGTAGAAGTTATTTGACCTGCAGCATAAACAGTAGCTCTATTCGACCTACCAAAAACAGTAAGTTATTTGACCTGCAGCATAAACAGTAAGTTATTTGACCTGCAGCATAAACAGTAGCTCTATTTGACCTGGCATAAACAGTAGCTCTATTTGACCTGCCATAAACAGTAGCTCTATTAGACCTGGCCTAAACAGTAGCTCTATTTGACCTGCCATAAACAGTAGCTCCGCTATTGAAAGTAATCATAGTGCTGCCCCTGTTGCGTTCCAGTATTACGTGTCTGCGTGAGGCTCGATGAGTTTGGCAGCGCCCTATGGATGGCTGTGCCTCCCTGGCTGTCATGGACGCTAAGGTGGCCCTCCGAGCATTGGCCCGTGGTTGTGACTTGAGCATATAAGGGCGGGGGGGGGGGGGGGCAAGTCCTGCTAAGGAGGTACCATTGTATGTTGTGTGAAAGAACTAAATAGCAGCTCTTTAGAACTCTTTAGAATTTTGCCTGATTGCTACACGAAGCAAGAATCAAATCTTCCAAGGACACTGGGGTGTGAGCAATGTGCAGCATAATACATGACACAGCCAGGGGTAAATTAGTGCACAGATGTCACCTCACTGTCTGTATTGCTCCCCAATCAACACCCCATTCACCCTGTGAATCCAGGATTTAACTCCCCCCCCCCCACACCTCCCCACGGATGTTTTTTTGCACGATTTCCGCCCACTAAAAATGGCGTCCTTTTTTTGCCGAAATTTGAAAATTTGAATCTCTGGCCGTGGTGGATTACTGAAATACTTATCGATATACTGCTCTAAAGCAGGTCACTACCCAGCCCAAACTGGGTTCTGTACGGTGAAATCGTGTTCTTTTTCTTTGACTCCTTCCTACTTCACTTTCATACCTCGCGCACCACGATCGAAATTCAAATTGCCTCGCAGAGAACGAAGTTGTGTTCCACGCTCGACCTGAAATTGCGCAGATACTAGCACAAGCTTTCTTGGCCATTATCAAGTAGTTATCACTTCGGCATCGACTTAGTTGATTTGATTCGCCATAGGTATGTTCTTGACGAAGCGATCTGCGACATTTTTTTGTCAAGACGCGAATTCGTTTCTAAAGACGTGAACATCAAAATTCTGTTGTTTTCCTTCAGCTACGACAAGATATGGACGCACACGTATCTTATCTTGGCGAGGTATGTCGCGTTGGTGGCAGAAAATTCGCCACATGCACACAGAAGACCCGTTATCCCGTTGCATCTTATAAATCCCAGCTTGAAGCCGTACATGGGATAAAAATTGATGAAGATGATGCACAAGTACACCCCCCATACCTATGTGTATTGTGCCAGAGGGCCATGAAGAGAGCCAGCGAAAAAGCCATGCACTGCGGCGGTGGCTGTGGCCCTCCTGTGAAATGGACACCACATCAACGCTCAGCCTGTTCATTCTGTACTGATCATACAGCAAAGGCCACGGGAAAACGGCATGCAAAGCAACTCACACACTGGCGCGCGGCCGCTCCGCAAACAACACGCACTCAGGACGAACGCGTGAGCACCGCAACCGCCACCCCAACACAACAACCCGCCTCACAAACATCAGCAACACAACTGGAATGTGGTTTGGATGTGCCAAGAGAGACAGTATATGCAACAGGCAGCAGCCAACATACTGCAACGATTCCACTGAACAAAGAGCGGTTCGTTAACGCACACACAGTACAGCAGTGCAACATATGCAGTAACATCGTGGACAACGTAATAGAAGTACCATGCTGCGAAGAGTACTTTTGTGCAGACTGCATGTGTGAATGGTTAGCAACGCACAAGCAATGTCCTGCATGTGCCAACTGTTTGAAGGCATCTGAGCTAAAGACGCCAGGAAAGGTTCCACGCAGGATGATGGATGGTTGGACACTCCGGTGCGACTTCCACAAGCCATCTCTGCAAGGCTGCCCGGTGGTTACTCCGCTGAGAGATCTGCGAAAGCATGTTGCAGCATGCCAGTTCAATCCAGCCACGACGACAGCTCCAATCCGCACCGTTAGACAAAGCTCGACTGTCGAGGACGTGCTGTCCGCATCACCGTCCAAGTTGTGCGGCAACGTAGCTGACCGTCTAACAGGTCACCTGGTGGCAGCAAGGGTGCATGACGGGCGGTTGGAGGTAAGGACAGCATCACATGGCAAGCCACAGGTCTATCAACGGGCTGTTGTGAGTAATGTGCCGTCTGACCGAGCTGCTGACACAACTTTGCGCCGCAGATCCTCAGAATTGACGAGACATGCTGAGACAGTGTGCGGTGGTGTGGCTGGAGCCAGAGCACAAGAGGTGGCTGGCTTGCAGAGATTGTCTGCTGCTGAACAGGAGCAGCTTCTGTTAGATGCTGGCATCAAGGCCAAGAAGCCGTCACCCGGCAGTGCACTGGCTATAAAGGCAGACCTCAGCCTCCCGTGGAGTCAGTTGCGGAAGCTACGTCGCTGGCTACACGAATTTGGCGTTGAAATGGAATCCGAGAAGACAGTCCGCACATTTATAGCTTCGAAGCTGCCTTCATACACCGCCAAAGAGCTCCCTATGACAGACAAGGATGGCGGAGTTACGATGATAGCAACTGTGCTCTTCCCTAACTTGGTGGATATTGTCATATTCTTTCTGGACCAGCTGCAGGACAGTAGCCGACTAACATGGCATGGTGGAGCTATTCCTGAGTCAGAGATTTGGATTAAGATTGGCGGAGATCACGGAGGTGGATCGTTCAAGCTAAGCTTTCAGATCGTCAACACCGAGCATCCGAATTCACTCACAAACATAATACCGTTCTGCATCTTCAACGGCAAAGACACGCCTGCAAACTTGGAGACGGCATTGGGACAATACCGACCCCAGCTTCAGCAGCTTCAGCAGACTTCCTGGAAAGGCAAGACAATGAAGATTTATTTATTCGGGGACTATGAGTTTCAGACTGTCAACTTTGGATTGTCTGGCTCATCTGGACTCCGGCCATGTCTCCATTGTTTATGCACGAAGAAGAGCATGGAGCTTGAGAGTGATGCGAGAGAGGAGGCAGAGAGAGAACCACGCACACTAGCATCTCTAGCAAGCGACCACAGCCAATATGTAGCAGCAGGCTCAAAGCTGGCGCAGGCAAAGAAATATAACAATGTGATTCGACCAATTGTTCTGCCTGTGTCAATCCCGAACGTCATCATTCCAGTCTTACACTTGGATCTCGGGATCTACCCCTGGCTGTTCGAAGCTATGCGGAGCGAGCTCCGAATACTGGACTTGGCACTGGTGGCAAGAAGCCAGGCACTAGACACGGATGGTGCTGCGTACAAGAAGCTGTGCGATGTACATAGCGAACTGACTGCTGAACAGCAGCTCGTCCAGAATTTCAACCAGCAGCTAACTACGACTCAGGAACAGCTTGAATTTGTTGCACTGCACGTACAGCAGCAAGGCGGCATGGACGAGCTTGGTGTTGTCGCCAACTTGCAAGAAGTGTACCAAACAGCAATACAGCAGCGTGACCATCACCAGCAGCGGTCAGCACAACTTCAGCAGCAAGTAGACAAACTGAGCGGCTGTAAGCAATTCTGTGGCCCATGCGTCGCGGCACTGGAGCCAGTCCTACAGCTTCATGGCATTGAGCGTCAGGTATACCACGGTGGTGCTTTCGTTGGTAACCACATCCACGAAGCCTTGAAACCCACCGTGGTCACTGCCATCACCTCTGCACATCTTTCGTCAGTCCAAACAAGGTGTCCTGACTTGTGTCCTGAGGCCACTAAAATTGCGGATAGATACGTAGCTCTCATGAACAGCTACGCAACGTGTCGAGCCAAGTTCAGCCACTGCAAACCAGTCGATGACGCTGACTTGGGTCAACTCCAACAAGACATCGAGAAATTCCTGGCCCTCTGCAGAAAGGAAGTAGTGTCCAGGAAATTCGGCCACATCACGCCGAAGTTGCACCTATTAGAAGAACACACAGTTCCCCTGATGAAACGAGTCCGCGTAGGATTGGGCCTCCTCGCAGAACAAGGTGCAGAGAGTCTCCACTCTTCACTGAATTCTCTGAACTTCAAGTACAAGTCTATTCCTCGAGAACTGCTGCGCCTCCAAACTGTTGCAGCACAGCACCTCCTGACGACGACGAACGAGGCGATAGCACTGCGTCCTGCGCCACGGAAGAGAAAGTCGCAGGAACAGTAGGTCGGCACGAGCTGGACAGCCAAACTGACAGAAGAAGTCCTCGGTAAGTGAGCAAACTAGTGTATAACTGTCTGTTCGCCAGCAGAGAACCTGTCAACATGATTGTGCTTCTTGTCCAAATAATTCTTGTTCACTCGTAGAATTTGAAAAATAGTTTGTCTCTTTTGCTAAACCGAAATATCGCTGATAAACCTAAGTGAATAAGAAAATCGATTAGGTACACTCTGATAAATTCATAACTCGCGCCGAATCTAACATAATCCTGCCAAACCGCGCGAAATGACGCCATATTTTTAAGTGGTGCTGCTGAAACACCCGTGTCCCATAACACACCCTAATAGGATCACCATTGATCACTGACACAAAGGATAATAGAGCCCAAAAATGATTCTTGTTTTCATTACCATAATTTGTGGTATAGTTAGGATGTGATTTAGGCTAAAGCATGTCGTTAGTTTGAGTGAGTTACCCAAGCACGAAAATCAGTGCAATCCACTCAATGTGCTCCTGTTGATGTTCATACTAGTGTGGGCTGGTGGCTGGTGGGTCATGTGACCTAGCAGGAGGGCCACACTAACGAAGCTTATGAGGCATGGCTCTACATCATGTAAAGCGACATGATGATGAATGTGATCACGATAATCAACATCCTCATCATCAGTACAATCTCCCCCAAGGCTGGTTGTAAAGTGTTACTGCTAAGGATGGATAGACAGGGATAAATGAACGGCGCCTAGTAAAAGTTAAGTACACAAGAGTGCTGACTATTACAACTGCAATGTAGTTTGACATTGGAAAGACTCAAAACCAAGTAGGGATATCTCATTCAGTTATAGGAAGCAAAGAGTACCTCGTTTTGTCCCCACACAGTGCCACTAATGCTAGCACTAGCACGGTTTCAACCACTTCTACTGGACGGTTCAACAAAATAAAATAAAACTGAGTGACATCACACACACTGCTCCATACACGAAAAAATGGCCCTAGCTGTCATCTCGCGATAGACACACAAACACGGTTCACCACTCAAAAGAGGAGCATTTACGACCAAATGCCAGCTAAATCTTGATAACGTTTCACGAAAGAACTGGTTTACCTGAAACCAACTGTAGCGTCCGCACATCGCACACTCCGCAGCATGGCTCGCACATGCAGAACGCAATCACGACAAACTGACTCGTCGGCAACATGGCATCCAGCGTCGTCTTATCGGCAGTAATTGAATCATTCCTGGCCGCCCATTGTAGAAACAATTACGAAGGAATCCTGCTCAATATGCATCACATCGAGCCTGTTCATGAGCCTATTCATTCCTCTGATACTATTCTCTAGTAACGCCAACAGCAGGTAGCACGCTAGCCGACTAGGGGCAGAGAGGCTCCGCGCCAAAGCATTTGAAGCAGATACCACTGACTACGGAGTTTGTGCAAACACTTCGTCTGCCAAATCTAATTCTAAGCCAGTCATGTTGTAGCCTAGTGAGTAGTGTAGGGGAGATGAACGAACTACAGTTTGTATAAACATTACGAGACGGAACACGAATGACACGACGCTTTGCTTGCTGAGCTAACGACATGGCAGCACACGGTCGGTACGGGTAGGAATGAGCACATTGCAAAGCACGCCAGCCATTGGCGGTGCAAAGTTCACGCCCGGGGTCACAATCACAAACACACACGGGAAAGAGGATGGCGCCACAAGATATAATAAATTACAAGGAGGCAAGAAACAAATTTTCATTTACAAATCGGTTTACTAACTGACTTACCGTGTAAAGGTGTCTTGCGACGTTCCTGCGGGTCCTTTGAAGTTGCGTCCTTCCAGCAGTTGCACACTAGAACACTCGTGCGATTCGAAGAGAAATTCTGTAGGCCGTTCGCCGAAACGACGATAGAAGGTTTGGTACTGAGGAGAAGGTGATCCTTTAGATTTATTGCTTTACAATGAGAGTACTGTAGCTGACAGATATAATCCCAGCCAGCTCCAGGTTATGACAGGCGAGTTGCAGGACCACGGCCTAATGAGTGGGTGTCGAAATGAACAAATATTTCTTCGGATCGATTGATTGGTAAATTGGGCAAGGCTAGCCCCGACGTCCAATCCACAACACTCGGCCTGCTAAAATGCTACTTGTTCACTGCAAGAATCACGTTGTGAACTCTATCACCGGCGAGCTGCAGTCTCCGTAGCTTTTCCAGGTACATGTGAAATACGTTCCGAAAGCCGCGATTGACGCCCACGGAAGGTGATGCGCGTTTGTGAAAATCTCCACCCAAGCGATGACTGCGTTTGACAATCCGAGAAAAGACTCGCGCTAGTCAAATTTTTCCTTCAGACTTCCAGGTAAAAGAACCATTATATAATTATTAACGGTGGAGGATTACTCTGGGATTTACGAAGATCGGAGTGTGGCGGAGTGTCGCTTTGTTATTCGCCTCGTTTCATCTGTCGACCTAACGAAGAGCAGTGCCAGTAGCTTAGGGCAGCTTCAATCTGACGCGCTGTTCTTTGATTGAGGTTTGGACAGGAGGAGAGTGCTGTTATGCATCGACACTACCGGTAGTGCGCTGGATTCTGCCACGCATGCAGGGGCATATGGGCACGCGACGATGCATGCACGCACGCTGTGCCGCATGTGTTGCAACGAAAGTCTTGGCTTTGTTCTTGGCTGCTCGCCGCCTGCGGGGACAGCTCCGCGAAGTCCCTAGCGAAGTCGGCTTGGCACGCATCATGCTGCATCACTGACTGTGGCGTCGTTCCAGAATGAGTTGTAGCACCGCACTGTCCGTAGTCGTAGATCTACTCCGTATGGACCGCCGTAGCTTGGTCTACATCATGTAGACTGGCATGTGTGACGGTGTGGAATGAGCATTGTGGCGGCCGTGACATGCATACCTAGACTAGAGAGTAGAGTCGAGTGAGCTCAGCTGATGAACAAAGCTGCACTTGCTTCACAACCTCCAGAGCGTGTGGTTGCAGCCTTTTGTCGTCCATTGACACGGTCGCAACAACAACAACACACAGAAGTCTTTGCAGAGAGCGCGGTGGCTCGGCAATGGTGAAGCTATCCACAAAGACGCACAATTTCCAACTCTCTTCGGCCGTTGGCAAGCGTACCTGGTCCTTCTGTTGGTGCAGTTGGGCCCATTGGCATTGGCATTGGAACTAACTGTTACTTGCTTTTTTCGGACCATGTTCATAGCACTTGTGTATGGTACTATGGATCCATACTGAGTGACCTACATGTATGTTCGGATAAGATGAACTTCGGATACTGAGTACAATGAATCTACATGATTGTACACTCTCCTAACGAAGTAGATTAGTTTCATTGGTTTGGGGGAAAGATGCAAACGGAAAACGTCTGAAGAAAATCTTTACCGTCATCACCAGGACGAGGGACCTTCGCTTGCGGCCAGCGATGCTCTAACCACTGAAGCATCAGTACCAGTAAGTATGGTGTAGCTGCCATCCCAGCAGATGCAAGGGCCGTAGATTATACTGTATAATGTAGATAATTATTATTAGTATTGAGCCCACATCTATTGCTACGGAATGTACCAGGCTTGTACATAATGTCATTGTCCTGCTACCCATGTCAGCTCATCTTATCACACATCTACTACAGTACATGTACATGTATAAGTACACATTTTCGTTCACGAAATCTTTCGTTATTTCACTCCACCAGCAGGCTTGTTACGTACTAAATTTCGCTTTTAGCCGAGGTCTGTCACCCAGAACGTTCAGAAAAAAACGTTAGTTTGGTACACACTTCAGTTATTTTCGTTCCCTTAACGAATATAGCGAAAGTTAATTCCAAATGAAAATTTGTACTTTCAATACAGTACCGGTACTGCAGTCTGTAGTCATTGTAATTATTTGTAGTGTAGTCATTGTAGTGTAGTCATTGCCCACCCTATCGTGCACTTTCCATCTTCCACGCTAATCAGTTCAGGGGCTGCAACGCCGTTCACCATGCGACTCGTAAACGGTTTTTTTTGTTTGACAATGCACCTTGTATTGTACACGCATGGGACCTAACGAGTGGCATTTATGATAATAGTCGTCGTGTCCATTTCTAGAGAGCAATCTTTTGCTGTCGCCGGTGTTCTGTCCTGCCTTGCTAACGGGCCAGCGCCAGTCGACCCAGCTGCACAGCTTGCTGGGGCTGTCTCCCGCGTTTTGACACGTGTCACGTCCACGCAATCTTTGACAAGGGTTAGCTATCTGACTTGTACAGGTATGTGCCGGGTTGACATGTCATGCTCCTACACGCACTGTATGTTACACTGGATTCGGCTATTCGGCTAGCAAAGAGGGAGATAAGAGAGTATTCCAGTGGATCGCTGACACAGTACCAATATCCATGCTACTTGTACAATAATAATAATAATAATATTGTAATATCTGTCAGTGGATGAATATCGAGTATGCACGGGCACAGGTGGACTGGTTGGACCGGGTGGGTGGGCGCTTTGCATGCTTCTCGGCATACCTCTCGGACCTCGGCCGCTGAGAATTACAACCCTGCTTGAGTCACGCACGTCACCAAGGCCATGCCAGATCTCTGACTCTCAGTGAGATCAGGCCAGGGTACCGGTAATATAGGTGCTGCCCGGACTTCTGACTCTCAGTCCTTGCAATGGGAATTGGGATGAGTACGAGTGGCTTGCGCCAGAATCTCCTACGCAAGTACAATGTACATGTCATGTACATGTACGTGCTGGTCCTGTTGTCGGATTCCAGAGCTCCATGCTAGCTAGCATCACACTACAGCAGGAAAAACGACGCCAAAGTCGGCAGTGCAGTCAGTACAGTACATGCAGCCTACAAGTCGCTTTCTGTCCCAGTGACTGAGCCTACTACAGTACCATTGTTCGCAACATACTCCGCTGAAGATGTGTATAGAATGTTTTTTGAATATTTCTTCTCGCGTGCTCTGGATGGCAGTCGTGAGTCAGTCAAGTGAGAATTCAAGTCGGCAGGAAAACCACGAGCTCCCATGTAGGGAGCAACACACTCTTCCACTACTATCGCCGAAGTCGCACCAACCTCTTCTTCACATTTCTTTGGTTCCCGTAATCAATAACAGTAGGTGGAAAGGAGGGAACTCTCCAAATACAACAAGTAACGCCAAAGCACGAAAAAAGGCGAAAAACTAAACCAAGAAGATGTACATTAACATGATATTTAGAAGGACAGGACAAGTGAATAATCAGTCAGTCGTGTATAGAAATGCACGTTCCATGTCTTGAGCCAATCCTGGTGTTCTGTTACTACGTGTTGAGAACCATGTGCAATGACATGAATGTTCATCGCGTCATGTTCCCGACCGAATGCGGAATAGCGCAATCTGCACACAACAAACTGCATTTTGTGCAGTGCAGCATGCATGGTGGATGCTGGTGCAGGTTCTCAGTACCAGGGCATACAAAAATGTACAGTGCCAACCTTGCTTGTGTGTGTGTGTGTGTGTGTGTGTGTGTGTGTGTGTGTGTGTGTGTGTGTGTATGTGTGTATGTGTGTGGTGTGTGTGTATGTGTGTGTGTGTGTGTGTGTGTGTGTGTGTGTGTGTGTGTGTGTGTGTGTGTGTGTGTGTCACTGTGTTCGTGTTCGTGCGAGTGCGAGTGTGTGTGTGTGTGTGTGTGTGTGTGTGTGTGTGTGTGTGTGTGTGTGTGTGAGTGTGTGCGTGTGCGCGGTGTGTGCGTGTGCGTATTTAGTAGAGCACCTTTCCGTGTAACGTACTCCGAAATACCTGCACGCTATATCAGCGGTACATCCCACGTCAGATGACGCGTTGTCAATGAGTTAGTTGAGAATGAACTAATACTTGCTCGTCTTCTACTGTTCACTCTCGAGCCAACAGTAGCCCATGGGTGACGATGTACTGAAGTCACAATGCACTATAAGGTTGGCGCGCAAGCAAAGACACACACACACATACACACACACACACACACTCCACTCAGTAGTTGTTTGTTTTTGTCCGCATATTATATTTTACGCGTTGGGTTTGTGAATAATGGTAAAAAAAACCCAGTCACACACACACACGTTACACACACACACACAGACGTAACACACACACACACACACGCACACCATGTACAATGCACATTCAATTGTATACGCCCGTCGCAAGAGGAGCACGCAAATCTGCATACACATACATGTAGCAAACTGCTGGTGTAGCGTCCGAAAAACTAATGAATGGAGTTCATGGACACTTTCAAGTTTGACCAACTGTTGGGCGTTCATGGGTATGCTTTCATGGGGTGTGTACACGCTGGTTTGATCCCTATGCAGTAACTGTTAATACCATTGATTTTACATTAATTTTCATGTAATATCACCAGTGGGTGACTCATCCGGCTGTCACCTGAGCCGAGGACCGCAGATCTAGATGTGAAACATTCACTCAGAACACAGAGCACGTAACAGAACCCATAGTATAATATTATGGTTTCAAATAGGCCTTTCGTACCATTACGTTTCACGTCGTATACAATGGTGATTTGCGCGGCAGCAAGCAAGTCCTTCTAACCGTTAGTCACCATTGTATTCGACTTGGAAAGTAATGGTACAAAAGGCCTTGTCAAAACTACAATTACGGCTTCTGACTCTGTGCTTCGTGTGCTGGTTTGTTCCCGTCCAACCAAGAATCTATAGAAATATTCAGTAGTATAACAGAGAGGTTCCAGGCTGTCCAAGGTTACTATTGTTTGAAACATTCAGTATACACACATGAATTCCCAAAGTGGAGCTGAATGAGATCTACATGACTTTTGTACATAATTGGAATTTCAACTCCTGTAGCGGACATGGAAATCCAGTCGATTGACCCGGGCCGGCGCCCTCAGCGCATACAGAACGCTGCGTACAGTGCAAATGTTGATCAGATGGGACCAGTGCGCTGCAGCGCATAAAATATTAATGCATGTGTGTACCGCTTACCCACGGCTGCATCGCCAGCGCTCAGGGGCCGCTAGACGTGCGACCGGATTTCCATGTCCACGACAGTAGAATACCCTTTTTAAAAAGGTAGAATATGTGGTGTGCGGGCCGGCCACAGAAAACTACTCTTTACCATCTGAAGACTTTGACTGGCTTCAGATTGACAAACGCGGTGTTGATACTGATAATCCAGAGATCCATTAGTATTAGCAAGAGTACATAACCCCCCAGAGTGTGCAACGTCGATCCAGCTCTGCATAGGGTCTTGGTCGAGCGGAATCGGATCTTGCCAAAGCTACTGGAAGTGAAGGAATCCCGGGTCTCCTAATCAAGTATTGTGCTGATATATTAGCTTCATCTCTTACCACATTGTTTAATGCATCATTATCCAGCGGTGAAGTTCCACAGCAGTTCAAATTAGCTCACGTTGTTCTGCTCCACAAGTCTGGTGATCCCTCTGTTCCCAAAAATTTCCGACCGGTATCACTGCTACCGATACTGTCCAAAATCCTTGAGAAGGTCGTGCAGAAATCGTTGGTGGAACATGTCGCACGGATGAACATCTTGCCAGTGACCCAATTTGCGTTCCGTCATGGGCACTCTACAGAAGACGCTCTTTCCCTACTAACTGACAGAGTCGACACTGGGCGAGATGACGATCTAGTTGTGGCAACCTGCCTTCTAGATATGTCGAAAGCCTTCGACAAAGT